TTTCTCCCACTCCTGCAACCCCCCACAGGTTTTTACAGCCAGAGATTTTGAAGCTTTATTTCACACACTGGAATCCTAGGCTACACAGTCTGTCTCACTCCCCAGTTGTTCCTCCTGGTTTATCTCCATGCAAATGCAGGACCACTGGGTCCACCAACTGCTGCCTTGCCACACTTCCTCTCTACCCTGGCTGCCTGTCTCCACTCCTCCTACCAGTCTGAATGAATATTTCTTCTTTAACTCCTTGGTTATTGGACTTCATACAGTTCGATTTTCTGGCCGTTCTGATTATTTTTTTGTTTTTAAATTTGTTGTTATCCTTCTTTTGGTTGTGTGAAGAGGCAAAGAGTATCTACCTATGCCTATATCTTGGCCGTAAGTCCTTAGTTGGTTGCCTCTTGCTCATGCCCTGAACCTGCAACCTAGGTATATGCCCTGACCAGAAATTGATCCCACAACATTTGGTTTATGAAATGATGTTCCAACCAACTGAACCACACTTCAGGGCTGCTTCTTTCTTTTTATTGGCTACCTGAGATGCTTCTTTTTGGATGTACTATAATTTATGTGCCATAATAGTAGAAACTTCCACCATCATAGGCAATACTGCAATGAATAGCTTTGTACATATGAGTATGTCTATAGAATAAACTCTTAGAAATTAAATTACTGAGTTAAGGGTATGTGAAATGAAAATTTTTATAGATAGTGTAAATTTCTCTCAATTGAGATTTTTTCTTAGTCTAACCAACTTTTTATTACCAAACTTTTTGATATTTGCTAATCAGTTAAGTGAAAAATGGTATGTCACAATTTGAAATTATACTCATTATTGGTGAGATTAAACATTTTTTCATATGCTTAAAAGCCCTTTGTGGCCCTGGCTGGTGTAGCTCAGTGGATTGAGCACAGGCCTGTGAACCAAAGGGTTGCTGGTTTGATTCTCAGTCAGGGCACATGCCTAGGTTGCAGGACGGGTCCCCAGTAGGGGATACATGAGAGGCAACCACAGATTAATGTTTCTCTCCCTCTCTTTCTCCCTCCTTTCCCTTCTCTCTAAAAATAAATAAATAAATAAATAAAATCTTAAGGAAAACAACAACAACTGTTCTAAAACAAAAGATCTTTTTTTAAAAAGCCCTTTGTGTTTCTTCTTCTTTATTTTTTTTAAATTTTATTTATTTTTAGTTTTATAGAGGGGGAAGGGAAGGAGAGAGGGAGAGAAACATCAGTGTGTGGCTGTGTCTCACACATCCCCTACTGGGGATCTGGCCCACAACCTAGGCATGTGCCCTGACTGGGAATCGAACAAGCAACCTTTTGGTTCTCAGGCCTGTGCTTAATCCACTGAGCTACACCAGCCAGGGTCTTCTTCTTTATTATTTAAAAATATATTTTATTCATTATACTATTAGAGTTATCCCAATTTTTCCCCTTATGCTCCCCTCTGCCTGGTACCCCCATTCTTTCCAGCAATCCTCCCCTTAGTTCATGTCCATGGGCCATGCATATAAATTCTTTGGCTTCTCCATTTCCTATACTATTCTTAACCTCCCCATGTCTATTTTGTACCTACCAATTATGCTTCTTAATCCCTGCACCTTTTCCCCCATTCTCCCCCTTCCCCCTCTCGGGTGATAACCCTCCAAATGATCTCCATATCTATGGTTCTGTTCCTGTTCTGCTAGTTTGCTTAGTTTGTGTTTTTTTAGATGTAGTTATTGATAGTTGTGAATTTGTTGCCTTTTTAATGTTCATGGTTTTTATCTTCTTTTTCTTAAAAGAAATCCACTTAACATTTCATATAATAATGTCTTAGTGATGATGAACTTTTTTAGCTTTACTTTGTCTGGGAAGCACCAACTGTCCTTCCATTCTAAATGATAGCTTTGCTGGATAGAGTAATCTAGCAAAGCTATCATTTAAAATGCTTTTCGAATCATGCTTTTCACCACTTTGAATACTTCTTGTCAGTCCCTTCTTGCCCATAAAGTTTCTTTTGAGAAATCAGCTGACAGTCTTATGGGAACTCCTTTGTAGGTAATTCTCTGCTTTTCCCTTGTTGCTTTTAAGATTCTTTCTTTATCGTTAACCTTTGGAATTTTAATTATGATGTGTCTTGGTGTGGACCTGTTTATGTCCATCATGTTTGGTACTCTCTGTGCTTCCTGGACATGTATGTCTATTTCCTTTACCAAATTAGGGAAATTTTCTTTCATTATTTTTTCAAATAAGTTTTCAGGGTTTTTTTTTCTCTTCTTCTCTTCCTGGCATCCCTATGATTCAGATGTTGTTACATTTGGAGATGTCCCAGAAGCACCTTATACTATCCTCATTTTTTAAAATTCTTTTTTCTTCTTGCTGTTCCAGTCGAATGCTTATTTCTTCCTTATGTTCCAAATTGTTGATTTGAACCCTGGCTTCATCCCATCCACTGTTGGTTCCTTGTAGATTTTCTTTATTTCACTTGGTGTAACCTTTATTTTTTCCTGGATCTTTTTTATGTTGTTGCCATACTCAATGAGTTCTTTGAGCATCCTGATAACCAGTGTTTTGAACTCTACATCTGATAGGTTGGCTATCTCCATTTTGTTTAGTTCTTTTTCTGGGTTTTTGTTCTGTTCTTTCATTTAGGCCATATTTCTTTGTCTCCTCAATTCAACAGGTTCTCTGTGTTTGTTTCTGTGTATTAGGTAGAGCTGCTTTGACTCCCTGTCTTAGTAGCCTATTATAGAAAAGTCACCTGTAAATTGTGTGGGGCAGAGACTTAGGTAATTGCCAGGGTGGGGGCAGCCTGCTTCACTGTTTTGTGGCTCTGTGTGGGGGAAGGGCTCAGAGAGGGGACAATGTCACTGCCTGGCTTCTGGAGGTTTGCCAGGTGCTTGCCCCGTGTGATTGGTGCCTTTCCAGCTATTGCTCTAGTGCTGAATCCCAGAGTGGGTGGATCTACATATGTTTTCCTGAAAATCTGGCAGTTTCTTCTGTGGTCCCAACCCCCATTGGTTTTTACAGCCAGAAGTTATGGGTATTTATCTTTCTGGTACTAGAAACCTGGGATGTGTGGTCTGGCCTGGGGCTGGGATTACTTGCTCCCAAGGTATCCCTCACAATTTTTATCTACCACATGTGAATGTGGGATTGCCTGTTTTGCTGCTGCCTCTCTGTGCCACACCATGTCTCTCCACCTCTCCACCTGCCTCTGCATCTCCACCCCTCCTACCCACCTGGGTGAATGTGGCTTCTTTAAATCCTCTGTTGTTGGACTTCCCATACAGCTCAATTTTCTGACAGTTCTGGGTGTTGTTTTGAGGTCTAGTTGTAATTCCTTCTGTGGTTGCATGAGGAGGTGAAGCATGTTTACCTATGCCTCCAACGGGACCAGAAGTCCCCTTCTTTAAATGATCCATTTATCTTCTACTTTTTTGTGTTGGTTGTTAGTTTGTTGGTTTTTAAAAATTGCTTTTAGGAGTTCTTTATAATGTAAATTGGTCCTTTTTGATTGGTCTGCTTCATGTGTTTCTAATCAATTTGTATGAGTTTAACATACATAAGCTCGTGGCAAGGCCTCCTCCTTTTTCTTAGTCTAGGGCGTATTGTGCTGGTTGGTATTCTCTTTACCTAGTCATCCTCAAGGGTGTGTGCTTTAGCTCCAGCTTGCTCTATTTTATCTCCTAATTTACCTAAAGTCAAACATTACTGACCACTTCAAAAGCAAGTATTTTTTCTTCCCCCAAATTCAATCTCATGTGAGGAAAGCACAATATTGTGTAGCATCTTATGTACTTGAGAAACAGACATTCCCTCATTAATGTGTCTTTTACGCTAGCCTTCTGAAATAGTAGCACTAGTCCTAAAGCTAAAAGTGATTCATCTCTCTCTCTGGCTGGTTTTCATTACAAAGGGCCCAGTTTTTTTGCCTGAGTCATTCTGAATGAATGAGACATGGGAATGAGGAGGGATAGATGGATGGGGAGTAGAAAGGGTAGGTGAGATAGTATTAAAGATTTCCATTTTGAGAGCTAAGATGCTGGTAGACCTCCTCAGCAGAGGTAGCAATTTTTTATCCTGATGGGTGGGGATTGTCTTTTATAACAGTACAATGTGTATCATGTCTCATGAGCTCATAGGACAAACATTGATTGGCTTGGAGTCATCTTAGGATGACAGAGTAGCAGCTGTTTGAAATATTAACTTTGAAGATTATATGGGGAAAATGTTGGGACTAGTAACTAAAGAAAGGTAATAGTGCTACTCCAACTGGGGTGAAGGATCCTCCCTTTAAATCTATTGTCTTAGTTATCTATTGCTGTATAACTAATTACACCAAAACTTAGCAGCTTAAAAATAAACAGTTTTGATCACACAGTTTCCTTGCACCAAGAATTTGCTAGCAGCTTATCTGGGTCCTGCTTCAGTGTCTCCCACAAAGTTATCATTAATATGCTGGGACTAAGGTCAGCTGAAGTGTTGGTTGTGGCTAGAGGATCTGATTCTCAGATAACTCACTCACATGGCTGTTGGCAGGAGGTCTCAGTTCCTTGTTAAGTGAATCTCTCCATGGAGCTACTTACATGTCCTCACGATGGGGCCAGCAGCTTTCCCTGCAGTGATCTAAGAGAGAGCACAAGGGGGAAGCCAAACTGTGTTCTGGGACCCAGTTTTGGAAGTCACACAGTCACTTCTACCATATTCTTCTATTCCTTAGAAGCAAGTCACTAGGTTCAGCTCACACTCAAAGAAAAGAAAGCTTCTTTGAAGGGAGGAACATCAAAGAATTTGCGGACTTATTTTAAAACCATCACACTCAGAATTCTTCAAAAAAGCTTACGAAAGCATACTTTGAACTTTATTCCATTGCTTGAACTACATGTCTCTATTCATGCCAGAAATATTTATTGTGTTATATGAATCACTGCATACTGTTTTCACCACCTATTACTGGAACCACTTTATTCTAAAGAATGATATCCTCCTAACAGCGGTCTTTTTTTTCTTCTCAGGTGCTTGTTGGGTTTCTTTTTATTCTGGCAGCCATAGAGCTGGTCTTTGTATTCACAGAAGATTCTGGACAAGCCACTGTCCCTGCCATCAGATATACCAATCCAAGCCTCTACCTGGGCACATGGGTAAGGGCCATCACTACTTCTGCCCTGTTTATCAAATCTCTGTTCATAGTCATATAGTTGAAATTTACTCTTTGGAATGAAACAGAGTCCAATTTCATCTACCTTTTTCAAGGGACTTGTGATGAGGCAAAGCTTAATTATAATGGGGTGGAACAGATTTTAGCTCTTCCTCTTTTAGCTCTTTTGAACACTAGTTTATAGACCCCGCTCCTTAGGATGAGTACTAGCTTTAATGACTAAGATATGTATCTTATGCTCTCATATCTTGCCATCTAAGAATCATATGTAAAGTCAGATTTATTGATAAAAAATTCTCTTAAATGCTATAAATATTACTTTTAAATTGATTGTAGAGTATAATCAATGGATCACTGTGTCTAGAGTTATTTTATAAACTTGATAACAGAAATTATTGTTTCTTCTGCAAGCATGTTTGAGGGGGGCTGCCTATCTGGTGTTTTAAAGGCAATTGAACTAGATGTCTTTATTTTTTTTATTTTTTATTTTTTAAAGATTTTATTTATTTATTTTTAGAGAGGGAAGGGAGGGAGATAGAGAGAGAGAGAAACATCAATGTGTGGTTGCTGGGGGTTATGGCCTGCAACCCAGGCATGTACCCTGGCTGGAAATCGAACCTGGGACACTTTGGTTCCCAGCCCGCGCTCAATCCACTGAGCTACGCCAGCCAGGGCGATGTCTTTATTTTTAAAGAGGAAGATGCCTCATACTTATTTGGATTTCCAGTCTTTCTTGAAAAATCAGAATGTCTGGCAACTATGGGCCTACATTCCCATAGGGCAATGGTCAACTAGGACTGAGTGATAGTTGCCCCCATTAGACCAGGCACATGCTCAGTGCAGTCTCCCAAACTTCACTCAGAAACATGCTATGTGTGGCCCCTGCAGGCATATTGCTTGATAATGCTGTTTAAAATAACAAAGAAGGGTCTAGGCAGTGCTATGCTGCATCTAGCAACATCATGCTGGAACTTGAAACCCACTACAGTGGGAGTATTTACACCATGGAAGTTGGCAATTGCTACAAATCATGGTTTTCCACCCCTATTCTCAGAATATTGATTTGCTGAGTTTAGGAAACCAACATTTAATTAATTATATCTAAGTGAGATGTTACAAGGGAAGTTTTTATTAATTGCTTAGTCTAGGATATTATTAGAAAATCATGATACAGACACCTTGCACCTATCCCGCAGAATCTTCCTGCACCACCTGACTACTGTAGTGCCTGAAGTTGATTTCCTCATCTCTTGAAAAGATTTTTCTGGCTCCCAAAGTAAAGCAATTCAAGTGCAGTTGGTGACCCTCTGCCTTCTTTGCTAACTCCCCACCCAACTGTGGTGACTAGAGATAGGGTGGGAAGGAGGGTCCCAGGGAGAGCGTGGAGGACCTGAAAAGAGGAAGTTGGGTAGTATCAGGGAGGAAATCTACAATTTGGCTTGTGTGTGCTTTCTGCCTGGTGAGATTAAGGGCAACAATCTCCTCCTGTAGCCTTCCTTTCTTCCTCTCTTTTCTGACATTCTTTTTGCCTCTTATTCTTGGCTAGTGCCAGTATTTTTCAGAACTTGACGTGAATTTCTCTCTAGCTCCTGGTTCTGCTGATCCAATATAGCAGGCGATGGTGTGTGCAGAAGGACTCTTGGTTCCTGTCCCTGTTCTGGATTCTCTCAATACTTTGTGGCACTTTCCAGTTTCAGACTCTGATCCGGATGCTCTTAAAGGTAAGGAGGAATGAGAGGGTGTGATGAGGGGAACCTGCTGGGCAGCTTCTCGGTCGGAGCCAGTGGCATGAAGTAAGTTGAGCTCCAGGATAGAATTGTATTTAGGGGATTTGATATAGGCTTTCATCACAAATATTGACATATGTGGGCTGCTTAGACTTAATTTGGATAAAAGGCTCATTTTCTATTTCTTTTTATTTGTTGTTGTTGTTTTGCCATAGGGCAGCACTTCCAGTCTAGCCTACTCCTGCTTGTTCTTCATCAGCTATGCATTCCAGATCCTTATCCTGATCCTTTCAGCATTTTCAGAAAGAGATGGCTCATCAGAGGTGAGACTCAAAATAGGCCCACCTCATAGATTATTTCATTGGATGACACCTTGACAAATGTAAGGTGTCAAAATCTAGGTGTCTAGGTGTCATATGGGTCCCCTGAGATGTCTAGGTCCCCGAGACTGCAATACAATAATATAGACCATTTAATGACATAAGGAAACAGAAGGTGACGAGAGTATAGAGATAATGACTTTGACATTGACCCACCAATCTTTAACATAGACAATTAATTCATATATCTATGCCAGAAGGTCTAATTATAATTCAATTGGTGACCTTAGCATCTCCAAATAAATACATATTGACCATCCTGCTTTAGTAGCATATGTAGTTTCTAGCACCTTACATCAGTTTCTGATTTTAGAGTCTTGTGAAGTTCCGGTTTCCAACTGATTTATTTTCTGATTTGTGTGCGTGTGTGTTTTGCAGAATCCATCAGTCACAGCTTCATTTCTGAGTAGAATCACCTTTAGTTGGTATGACAGGTAAGAAATGCCTGGAAATTGGGTTGTCTCTATTCTCACCCCCTCAGTCTTCTGAAAGTAATGGAAATCTTAATTTTTCAAAATTTCTCCTGTGGCCTCCATTTCTCCTCTCTTTAAAGTCAGAGGATGTTAGTTCAGTCTCTTTATTGAGCAGACTGGGACACTAAGGAGACGATGGAGGGAGATTTTCTCTTGGTAGCCTGGGGGTTCCTTGGAGAAAAGGAAGGGCTGTAAGAAAAGGAGGTAGCAGAACAGGAACAGGAGCCGTGGGGACCGGTCGCGCCACACAAACTTGGAGGATAAGGGCTGAATTTGTTGGACGTGGAACAGGCATTCTTGTCCTTTGTGGTTCCACAAAACCTTTTGTCTGGTAACGCCCACAAATCCCTTCTTAGATACTGTTTTCAATGCATAAAATAAAAGATATAGGATTGTAAAGGAAAACAAATAATTGAAGTATAGTTACCTAAATATTTTTTACTTTTAGTTATTTATTTTTAAAGCCAACATAAGGTTCTTTTTTAAAAAAAAAGATTTTATTTTTTTTATTTTTAGAGAGAGGAGTAGGGAGGGAGAAAGAGAGGGAGAGAAACATCAATGTGTAGTTGCCTCTCGCATGCCCCCTACTGGGGACCTGGTCTGCAATCCAGGCACGTGCCCTGACTGGGAATTGAACCAGCAACCCTTTGGTTCACAGGCCAGGACTCAATCCACTGAGCTACACCAGCCAGGGATACATATAAAAAAACAAAACAAAACACAAATGTGTGGTGTAGTAATACAAGTGGTTCTTTATGAATGCATTAAATAAAAAGATCTAGTGATGGACCTAATAATGACCATAATTTCAAAGTAGTGATGAGTGTAAACGGGCCTTGGAAACATCTGTGATTTCTCCTAGAGACAAAGGCACAGGTAGTCCCTTAGACAACTCTGGTTGGTTGCCTTTGCCTCTATTAGAAGGAAAAGCTAAATATCAGTAAGAAGCTGTTAAAAATAAAGACTTGATTTTTTTTCCATCCGTTTTTTCAAATCCTAGGTTGAGAAGCTCTAATCTAGAAAGACAATATGGAGGTGGCCTCCAGGTCTGCTCAGTTCCTTAAGGGCATTGTGAAGGCCCCCAGGGAGTAGCCAGAACAGCGGAGGCAGCTAGTGTTTGAAAAGGAAGGAGCAGGGGGAGGGGGAGATGATACTTTTTTGGCTCTTAATTCTGTAGTGCCCCTCCCCTTCTTTTTTCTTGTCTTCTACCACCTTCTGTTCCCCCTACCAGTCCCTTCCTGCTCCTCCCACTCTTCTGTCAAGAGCAAAGGGTCAGAAGGTAGGGTAATGGGGAAGGGGGGAAGGGGGAAGTCTCATTTTCCTGTCCCTCCATCCCAGAAGTGGGCAGTGGGGTTTGACAGAGGCATCCAGGAGACAGCCTCCTACCCAGCCCGCAGGGCCTCAACCTCTGGGTCCCTCTTATTCCAGCATTGTTCTGAAAGGCTACAAGCAACCTCTGACACTTGAAGATATCTGGGATGTCAATGAACAGGGCAAAACCGAGACACTAGCCAACAAATTTGAAACGCACATGACAAGAGAGCTGCTGAAGGCCCGGCGGGCACTGCAGAAACGGCAGCAGAAGAACACCCGGAGGGACTCTGGAGCCAGGCTGCCTGGCCTAAGCAAGAACCAGAGTCAAAGCCAAGATGTCCTCGTCCTGGTAACTCTCCCATGAGGGTCTGTGCAAGTGTACTGTGTGACTCAGGCAAGAGGACATCAGGGTCATGGTGACTCCGTCCTCATATTTTTATAACACTTTATACTTTGCAGTGTAGTTTATATTATTATTAGTATTCACAATACTAATAACACCTTAGTAGTGGATACATGGGGGTGGAATGTACTATTTGTTCTCCTTTTGGGGTATATTTGAAATCTTCTATAACAAAGTGGCTTTAAAATAGAAGGGTAAAATAAAATAATGCCTTAGCATGACTAGAACGTGTACCTTGGCAGATTTAAGCATTAGCAGCTAAGTCATTTACTTTTTCACTTAAAAATATCTATTGAGTGCCACCGCATGTCACCAAAGCCTGCACAAAGGAGGCAGCAGGGCTCAGGGGCTCAACAGGACAGGACAAAGTCGTACCCTCCACAGCTCTGTGGACACTGCTGTTGTTGGTTTTGCACTTAGGAAGAAGCTAAAAAGAAGAAAAAGAAGTCTGGGACCACGGAAGACTTCCCTAAGTCCTGGCTGATCAAGGCCCTCTTCAAAACTTTCTACACCATCATCCTGAAGTCGTTCCTGCTGAAAGTGGTGCACGACCTGCTCATGTTTCTGAATCCTCAGCTGCTGAAGTGAGTCTGCGCCTGGGCCCTCTCGGGGCCTCCCCTGCCACTCTCCTTTCTGCCCTGTGTCTGCAGGAAGGAGCTTATCATTCAATTTTCATTTTTTAAATGCTCACAATTGTTATCCACCGTACAGTGAATGTGTGTGAAGGGTGCAAGGCAGCTCTCAAAAGCTAAGATGATGTGTTCTTCAGCCGTCCTCTGTTCCACGTTTCTCCCCACCCCCCACCGCATAGAACGCCAGATACACGTTAGGAACTCTTCCCTGTTAAACAAACCTGCTGTGGGCTGAGCCACGCCCAAGAGGTGGGCAGCAGATCCCAGGAGAGCCTCGTGCCTCGCGTCTGTACCCTCCTTGCTCCACAGTCACAGCCTTCGACCACAGGTTCAGGTTGGCCATGACAAGACGCCCGCCTGGACCTCTGGCATGAACTGTCCTCCAGGGGGAGCCCTTCTAAGTCATTCTGGACACCTGTCCTAACTCCTTTCTGGGCCTGCGTTGTCCAGGAATTAGGCAGCTTGTCCCACAGAGCCTCTCTACCAGGGACCAAGCGTTGCAGTGGCAGCTCCACAGATTGTTCGCGATCCCATCTCACAAACAGGTCATCAGCCTCCAGCGCTTCCCACTCATCTTCTCACCAGAGCAAGACAGCTGGCACAACCGTGGCTCTCAGTCTTCCAAGAGCACTGACAACCCTGGTCACTGTGTTACCTACAGGGTAGGGTAGGGTAGCGTAGCTGGCTGCGCACGAGGAGCGTGGAGCCCTGGGAGGCTTGGTGGCTGCCACTTACTCGGTTTTGCTCTGGCAGGTGGCTGATCGCCTTCGCAAATGATCCGGACAGTTATGCGTGGACGGGATACCTCTGTTCGATCCTCTTCTTCGCTGTGGCCCTCATCCAGTCTTTGTGCCTTCAGTATTACTTTGAACTTTGCTTCACGCTGGGCGTAAAAGTGCGGACAACCGTCATGGCCTCTGTGTACAAAAAGGTAAGTGAACTGTGTCAGGCTTCACCAGAGAAATCCCCCTTTGCAAGCGTGAGCGCTTAGTCCGAGGCTGAGGAAAGTTTGATGAAAATGATAACTGACCTTAACACTTGATTTTGACTAACCATACAACCTTCTTTAGATGTTTCTTTGGAAAGTAAAATGTGAAAAATGTGAACATAGACATAGGTGTGTGTGTATTGGGGGGAGAGGGATACATTCCAGGGAAAAACAGGCTGGCTGTTCTCTGCCAAGCATCTGCCTTTCAGCCTCAAAGGCTTTCTTATCCGTCCTTCTCTCCACCTCTCCTGACAAGGTGGGAAGTCAGAAAAGCAGCTGGCCAAGCGCAGACCCTTAAAACCACCAACATTTAAGTCCAATGTTACGTGAAGCAGCATTCAGGAGGCCTGGCGCGTCCCTATGAAATCACAATTTTGCCGTAGACTAGAACGCTCTGTGGACCCCGGGTTCCACCTCCCAGACCGCTTCTCCTTAGTGACTTCTTTTTGTAGTAAGTCTTTAGTGGCCGACCAACCTCTCCACTGCCTGAGTCCTCTTTTTTTTCTTTTTTTCTTTGTAAATACATCCAGTCTGCCTTCTGGGCTCTGCAGACTTGGGAGCTTTTTCATCTCTTTAAGATGATTTAGCCATCTTCCCTCTGAGATGTTGCTTTTAACATTTAACTTTCTCAGAGCAACTGTGTTTTTCTTATATCCTAGCCACCAAGGTGAAGTCTTATGTTGTCCTTTAAGAAATGAAAATGGAGTTCTTGTATCTCAATAAAGAAGAAATAAATTTTAAAAAGAAATGAAAATAGAATAGTTATGATCGGTGACTGGAAACCTGTGGGGAAATTGTTTACATGAGGAGATAGGACTTTTTATAGGTCAGAATACAAAACAGGTGCCCTTTCTTCCTGGTTTTCCTCCGCCACTGGAGAGCTCCATCGCCGTGACTTCTCTCGGACAGTTCCTGGGTTTCTCCTTCGCTCTCCTCTCCTGCAACATTCCCGGGCCTCTGTCTCCCCTGAGTAGATGTTGCCTCTTCAAGAGACCCAGGCAGGTACCCCAGACATCTTTAGGTCGGAAGTCTGAAACCTCCCACAAACCTTCACACTGGTGCCTGGCTCCTCCTAAATTAATGTTTTAATACCCTTATTCCTTCTAAAGATATTGAATTTCTGCTGGTTTTCAAGTTATGAGGTTGCCAACTACGCTGTCTCTGTGATTTCTACGCATGTACACTTTTTACTATTGTAGTGATTCATTCCCTCTGTTTTTTAACACATTCTTAATCATTTTATTAGTTAGAACTTCTCACATTGATAGCACAAGGGTAAACTTCCTCTAATTTGTGAATCGTAGGAAGATTTTTTTATTGTTGTTCTATTATAGTTGTCCCAATTTTCTCCCATTGCTCTCCCCTACCCCACCCATCCTCATTCTCTCTATTTTGATTATTAATATATCCCAGGTTTTACAACTGTTACAATTCATGAGGAATTTATAAAATAGAGCTTTTAATAAGAGAAATAAGTGTTGCTACTAAAACAGAATTTTCAGTTGGCTAATTTCTTATGTTTAGACAATGCTTCTTTATGAAATGTTATGAAGCATTTTTCACATCCATTATCAATCCATAGCCCTATGCAATAATTGCATTATCCCTATTTTGCAGAGAAATAAGGCTTAGGGCAAGTCAATGCCTACAGTCACATAGTCAAGACCTGTCCCCGCACAAAGGCTATTCAGACTAAATCAATGACTTTTCCACTTCATTAAAATTTATTGAGAAAAGGGGAGTGTAGCGATAACCATGAAGGGTAATCAGATGTTACTTTTTTTCCTTTTCCATACCAAAAGGGAGGCATAGAAATGGACTGGTTTCTCTAGAACCTTGGTAGCCTAACATCTTAGGAAATTTCCCTCTTTCTACTATATGACAAAGAATCCTGGTATGTTCCAAAGAAGAATGTATTGGTGGATTAAGATGACAATAGAACTTCTAGGAGAAGCATTGAAGTGACTATCTAGGGCCACTTGTAGCCCATACACTATCTTTGTGGGAATTGGAAGAAGGCTCTCCTTCCTCCAGGAAGATGGTGAGCATAGTGCAAGCTGGTTTTAGTAGCCCCACCCCTCACCCTAGCTCCTTAGCTGGTGCATTGGTGCCAGGCATTGTTTGTTGTAAGTGATAGACCTGTGGGTATCCCTTTAACATGAGGACTGGAGGGCCATATTACAAGATTTAGAGATCTACACATTGCCTGCAAATTTCTGGCACTAAGGCATTTTGTTTCACCTCTGTGAGCTCTGCAGCTTTTCTGTCCATTTTAAGGTCTCTGTCCTTCTTGGGAATGGTTGCAACTTCCTCATAAGAGTACGGCTCCAAATAACATTGCCATGTCAGAAGTCTGCAAGGCCAGACTCAACACATGCTCCCCCTCTTCACCCCTCCTGTTTGCTCCCTCTTTCAGTGTTTGACTCCGTGCTGTGTGCCATGTGATAGAGTAGTGAAATGCACAGATGTAGCCTTGGTCCTCACAGAGTTTACATCTGGTGGGGAAGTAGAAAAGTGACGAAATTTCAGCTCAGTGTGATGAATGCAATGACAGAGGTAAGCACAGGATGTTGTGGGAGTACACAGTACGGGTACCCAGCCCAGGCTTGAAAGTCAGGGAAGTCTTTTCAGAATATGTTCTATGTAAGCTGACACTAAAGGATAAAAAAGAATTTTCTGAGCAAAGAAGTGTGTGTCGGGGGAGGAGGAGTGGGGTTGGAGAAGGTAAGAATAGCAGGAAAGAATGAGAGAACACTGGGTAAAATTTGGAGGCAAGAATGCACAGCCCCTTGAAAAAGTGTGTCCAATGGAGCCCATGCTTCTGCTGTGTTCTCACTCCCCAAGTTTCCCCTTTTACTTCCCAGGCTCGTTGGCCTGGTCCCTGGGTCCCAATCCCAATATTTGTCTTTAGGCGCTAAGACTGTCCAACCGAGCGAAGAAGCAGTACACCGTTGGAGAAACAGTGAACCTGATGTCCGTGGATGCCCAGAAGCTCATGGATGTGACCAGCTTCATCCACCTGCTGTGGTCAAATGTTCTACAGATTACCTTGTCCATCTACTTCCTATGGGTCGAGCTGGGACCCTCAGTCTTAGCAGGTGTTGGGGTGATGTTGCTTCTAATCCCAGTTAATGGGATAATCGCCTTCAAGAATAAGACTATTCAGGTAAATAGAGGTACCCTAGGGATGCACACACCTTCTTCAAAGTCTAAGGATGTTTGTTTGTTTTACTCTAACTCTTGGTGGCAGTGTGGGCAAGGTGAGACTGGTGGAAGACTTTCCACCATCCCGAATGACTTAGCTTTCTCTGCCTTCCCTTTTTATGTTCTGACTACTTTCAGGGTTTATATACTCTATCTTCATTCATGTTAGAGGGAAGAGCTTGACTGGGGAGAAAAGAGCTACATGGGGGCCATGAATATAACTCTTCCACCCTGCTCCACCCGGCCCTTCTTAGAATAGTGATTATTGGCCCTGTTTCTTCATCATAGCAATACAAACCCACCACACAGAGCAGCCACATGAGTGACTCAAAACTTTAAGCCTAAACCCTAGCAATCAACCTTGCTACCACTAGGCGGCAGGGTTCCATGTGGATGGTCCTTAGCTCTGCCAGAAATCATAGGTTGGATGGGTGAACTCAACGGTGTACATGATTCATTCATTCATTCTGCATTTATTTAGTTACAAATTATTTTGAAAATATGTATTGTGCATCCTACTTTTCTGGAAACACAGCAGCAAGTTAGACAAGGCTCTTGTTCTAGGGGAGCTTACATTCTACTTGGGCCATAAACAAACAAAAACAAAGAACAAAATATCAGGGCATGGTAAGTTCTATGCAGAGAATTTAACAGGGTGATGAGATAGCAAGTGAGTGGTGGTTGTTTCAGATTGCAGGGCCAGGAAAGGCTCCTGTGAGGAGGGGCTACGTGAGCTGGGCTCTGAACAACACAGGCCTGACCACCAAGGAGCGAGTGAGCCTGGAGAAAAACAACCTGGGAGGGGGGCATAGTCAGGCCAATGCTGCGGGGGCAGAAAGGAACCTGGCACACTCAGGGGTCAGAAAGAAGGTGGGTGTGGCAGGGGCAGAGCGGGCAAAGAGGAGAGTGGGAGAGACACATCCCACCACTGGGCACCTCAAGGTCTTACCAAGTGACGGCCCCAAGTGCCACCGCGACCTATGGTCTGCAGCACATCCGGACCCTCTCACATGGATATGTTTTGTTTTTGTTTTACTTTTTTCTGGCAGGTAAAAAATATGAAGAAGAAAGACCAGCGTTTGAAGATAATGAACGAGATTCTCAATGGAATCAAGGTGAGAAGCCGGCTGTAGGTGGCCCTCCTCCGCGCTCAAAGATAGCAGCTGGGGGCGGGGGGTTGGTGCCTTAGCAACCCTGGTAGAGATTGTGGACTCCTGCTTTTAGGCCTGTGGGGTGTCACGTGACTCCTGATTCATCTACCCACAAGTCTCCTGTTTCTCCTCCTCCTCCCCCTCTCAGGCCCTCTTTTCAACCCTGATTTCTATTTATTTACCCTAAAAGGTTTGTTTTGCTTTTTTACGTTACCTTATCAATTGGCGCGCGCGCACTGAAGTAGACAGAGTGATGCCATCGACCCCGTGGACATGGCCCCGCTCCAGCAGGGATCAGCCGGACCCGACTGGTTTCACCCACACGCTCTGCTCCCGCTTCACTCCCTGCTCAGTCACTTTAAAGCAAACCTCAGATGGTCTCGTCATTTCATTAGCGAATACTTTGCATATATTTCTAAAGGGAAGACTTGGTTTTTAAATATAACCACAATATTATCACACCTAAACACCTAAATATTATCACACCTAAAAAATATAAATAATTTCTTGGTACCATTAAACTTCCCCAACTGCCTCATGCATCTCTTTTAAAAAAACTGCTGGTTAGTTTGAATGAGGATCCAAAGAATATCCACACGCGGCGTTTAGTTGATGGTGCTTTTAATCTACAATTGTACCTCCCCTTTTGGGGGCTGTATTGGAGAAACCAAGTTGCCTTGTTTCCTGTATTTCTTGTAAATTGGTAGTTAGATCTAAACCTTGATTAGGTTCAGGTGTGATTTAGGGGTGGGGGTGGGAAGGATGCTTTCGGGTTGTACTGTGTCCTTCCAAAATCAGAGGTGACGATCGTACCGGGGTCCAGGCGCTGCCAGCCTAAGTCCCTCCCTCATTAAATGTCCTGCCATCCTGGCACCTAGAGGGCTGATCTGGGGCCCTGGCAGCGAGTTTTTGGTCCCTTGGTACGTGTGTAAAGCCCACTGAGGCTTGGGCCTGACTTCAAGCCATTTAAACTGGACTCTCTAGGGGTAAGCTGCAGGCATATATTATATTTTACAATCTCCCTAAGAAATTCTAATATGCAGCTAAGGTTGAAAAGCCACTGTCATTGCCTTGATCTATTATTTCCTTAGGAGTTACAAAGGGTAATATTTTAATTCTATTATTCCTTTGACATTGATTAGCTGGAATTCTATAAAAAAGAATTATCTTATTCAACCAGTTGACTACCTTAAAATAAGATTTGTACAGGATAGGAAGGATAAATGCTTTCTTCTTTTCTCTGCTTACCAGTTTTCAAAATAATGTGTTCCATCCTCCAAAGGAAACCAATGAGACCTCTGGAAACGCATATGTTGTTTGAATTCATGGATTTCACATCACCACAGAGTTCCTGAGGGTGAAACAGAAGCCCCTGTCAATGCCCTCGCATTTCTCCACACGGAGCTCTGCGGGGCCTCCCTGCTCATGTGGCACAGTGAACAGGCCTGGTTTTGAGTCTCAGCTCTATTCCTAGCTAGCTTGTGCCTGGGGACAAGTTACTTAGCCTCTCTCAGCCTGTTTCCTTGTCATTAAAATGAATACAATAATTCTACAAGAGAAGGAGACTAATTCGCCTGGCTTTGCCCAGAATTTCACAGGTTTCTCACTGAAAGCCCTGTGTCCTGGGCAGCCCTTAGTCTCAGGCAGGCTGGAAGAGTTGGGCAGGCTGGAAGAGTTGGTCACCCTCAGATTGTTATAAGGATTAAGTAAAGTAATGTGTATAAAATGTTCGTATAGCCCTGGGTGGCATGGCTCAGTGGATTGAGCACCAGCCTGCAAACCAAAGGGTCACTAGTTTGATCCCAGTCAGGACAGGTGCCTGGGTTGCAGTCCCCAGTGGGGGGCGCACGAGGGGCAACCACACATTGATGTTTCTCTCCCTTTTTTCCCTCCCTTCCTCTCTGTCTAAAATAAATGAATAAAATCTTTAGATCTTATAAGATCTTATAAGATCTTATTTAGATCTTATAAATCTTTAGATCTTATAAAAGATTTTTAGATCTTTAGATCTTATAAGATCTTATTTAGATCTTATAAATCTTTAGATCTTATAAAAGATTTTATTCATTTATTTTAGACAGAGAGGAAATAAATAAATAAAATCTTAAAAAAAGATTTTATTCATTTATTTTTAGAGAGGGGATGGAGGGAGAAAGAGAGAGAGAGAGAAACATCAATGTGTGGTTGCTGGGGGTCATGGCCTGCAACCCAGGCATGTACCCTCACTGGGAATCGAACCTGCAACACTGGTTCGCAGCCCGCGCTCGATCCACTGAGCTATGCCAGCCAGGGCCTGAATAAAATCTTTTCTAAAAAGTTTGTACATAGTAACTTGTCAACAAATACAAGCTACCTTTCTGTAATCATACTTGATTACACCTCCTCACCTCCTCACCTCCCCAAATTTTGGGGACCATATCCTAAAACCTGGGCAGATGAGACACACCTGGTGTCCTCTGAGGGCAATGGTGTGAGCTGTGCTCTTTTCTATCTTATTAGATCCTGAAATATTTTGCCTGGGAACCTTCATTCAGAAACCAAGTCTACGACATTCGGAAGAAAGAGCTCAAGAACCTGCTCCAATTCGGGCAGATGCAGTCAATGATGATGTTTATCTTGTACTTGACTCCGGTCCTGGTGAGTGACACGTCTGCGGGCTGGGTCAGCTTCCCAAAGGAGAAGGTCCGTCCTGGACAGACTGCCCAGAACCTGTAGTCCTGGCCCAGAAACCCAGGGAACGCTGCCCTCCTCCGCTCCCCATGCTGCCCTCGCTGCCTCGTGCCCCCAAGCCTAGTTTCCCCCGTGTGTGCAATTCGGCGGGCAGGGAGCCCCAAGCAAGTTACCAGAGTGTTCAGCAGGAATGTGGTATCCAGGGATGGTTTGCAAAGGGGGGTCTCTTGTCTTCTTGGGGAGGCTGTGGGGGTTGATAGTGGAAGAAACACCGATACGGGAGCCAGGAGACCCGAACTCTGGTCCCAGCAACGCCGTTCAGTGACGTTATGACTCAGGCCAGATGCTTCCTCCACTTCTGGGCTCAGCGTTCTCATCTGTAGCGTGGGAAGGTTGAGATATTCCTTGTGATTCCGGCAACGATTGTGTTCCTGAGACTTAGCACAAAGCTGCTTGAGCCTTTTAGGACTACATGGTTCGTGACCTTGCTTTTCCAGGTGTCTGTGACCACATTTTCAGTCTATGTCCTGGTGGATAGCAACAACATTTTGGATGCTCAAAAGGCCTTCACCTCCATCACCCTCTTCAATATCCTGCGCTTTCCCATGAGCATGCTTCCCATGGTCATCTCCTCTGTGCTCCAGGTAGGCGGGGACTCCCACTGCGAGCTGACTGTCTCCGACTAAAGCCTGAGACTCTAGAATGGCCTGTCCCACCTCATGTCTAGCTTCTGCTGGTGAACTTTCAGCTAGAGGGACTTGTTTGGTCTCTGAAGAATGGTTTGATCTTAATGAGATCACAAGCTCTCTCAGCTTACTTATCTAACTGTAAATCAAGGATTCTCATCTACCTCACAGGGAAGACATGCTTGTGAAAGCATTTGTGATTAACCCTGGTGCCTGGAACATGTCTGAGCCCTTTCCCCAGCCTCGTCTTCCCTACATTTTCCCAAGGCTCTTGGGGTATTTAGTCAGCATTAGGGAACTGCGGAATGCAGGGAGAGAGAAGAGCCTCTCTCTGCCTGAAGCCATGAGGTGGTGACACCAAAGGCAACTCAGGAGACTTTGAGCTGTCAGAAAGTGAGTTTGGGGTTCAGGAGGCCTTGGGTGGGCCTGAGGGGGCATCTAGGTCCTGCAAACTGAGCCCAGTCGGGGAGAGGGACCAGACCTCGGGGGAAGACCATAGGGCAGGTGGCAGACTGGTGAGGCAGCCAGGGTGACCTACAGCCATCTCGGAGGTGGCTGGCTGCAGACAGCTCAGGCCATAGGAAGGGCCGGGGTTTGGGAGAAGGCCTCCCTGTCCTGGGGGTGAGGAGGCATGTTAAGGAAAGCTGACAGGTGAGGCCGATAAAGGAACAGCATGCTCTTTTTAAGGGATTCAGTTTGTTACATGGACAGTAGGAGCAAGATCAGTAGAAGTGTCAGCTCCCTGAGGATCCCTGTCCCATAAGATGGCACTGAAACAAAACGGCCCGAGGGCGATGTAGTGGGGCAGTGGGCCGCTCTGTTTCTGAGGAGCCGGTGCCGGCAGCAGCTGAGCAGGTTTACAGCCTGTGGCTGTGCCCTCAGGAGAGGGCAAGGCAGAAGGCCCCGGGCCTCACCAGAGCCCAGATGGTGATGGGAAACCAGCTCACAGCTGCCTCCCTGAGGGACAGGGAGGCAGGAGAGAAACGTCCAGGAGAAGCCCGTGGAAATCCTCCCAAGTTCCCGTGTTCCAGGGGGACCACAGGGTGTTCTGCCGACACGTGGACCAGCTGCGATTTAAGCTGGACCTATGTGGCCCGTGTCCAAGTGTTCCAAGGCCAGTTCCTCTGCAGAATCCAGTAGGGGCTCGCTTAGGACGCTGCACGGGTCATCAAGAAAAAGAGCACACCAAGGGCGTAGTTGCCAGACCAGATAGGAGTTAGTGTTTTTTTCTCAGAGAAGGGCAACAGACAGTTTCTGGAACTAGGTACAAAGATGAGGGAGAGAGCAGGAGTTACCCTCCCTCTCCCCCTCCTGCAGTTTCTAAAGGGTTGACACAGAGCATCTTCCTTTGCCCCTGTGCACAGGAGTGGGCCGGCCCCCGGGGCTGAGGTGAGGCTGAGTCTGTAGTGGGGCTTAGGAGATTCCAGCAGCAGGTGGCAAATCATAGGCGAGGAGTATGGCAGATTGATGACCTCCTTCCACACCGGAAGCTGAAGATGAAGTCAAAATCCTCTCCCTTCTTGTGTTTGTCATTGGATTTTTATTCTTGAGATCCTCTGTGTCCTCCTCTAGGCCACTGTTTCCATGGAGCGTCTGGAGAAGTACTTGGGAGGGGATGACTTGGACACATCTGCCATTCGACAAGACTGCGATGTTGGTAAGTGAATTTGGAAGTTGTTTCCCCAACTTGCTCACAGTGCTGGCACCAGAGCTTTGAATTACGGGGGCTTGGCAGCAGCAAATCCATCAAAAGGGAGAGTGAGGGGCCCTATCTTGAACCTGCATTTGCATAGAAGCATACTATTTTTACTTAAATTATGTTTTCACTTGGAACAGAGTGCTTGGCCACATTGCTAAACAAAGCTAAGTCAGTTGTTCTGAGGATAAGCAGGGAATCCTGCGAAGGATCTAGAGAGTGGAATCAGGGTAGAGCTGAGCCTGTGGAGTTGGGAAAGCAGGCTGGAGCAATGGAAAATGCAGGTTGTGGAGGTTCAAGGGTTGGGGGGCCTCCACAGCCAGGGTGAGCCGTGGGTCTGGAATCCAGGGTAGGGAGTCACTGGGTGTATACATGCAGGTGGAACTTGACCTGGAGACTAAGCTACAGGGCCTGGGAATGTACCCAGAGGGTCTATAGGACTGAAATCTAGGCTCATCACAGGCCTTGGACTCCCGAGCCAAAAAGGACTTCATACACAGGCAACGTCTGGTCTCCCCCAAGAGCTTTCACTAGCATGGGAGCCACCACCTGACAGAGGTGATCTCAGGGATTGCTGGAGTAAGCGGAGAGGGACACGTGAGGGCTGAGAAAGAGCAGGCAGGCAGGTGGGGACCTACGTCTGACTAAAAAGAGGAGTTTTCTTCTCAACAGACAAAGTCGTGCAGTTTTCTGAGGCCTCCTTCACCTGGGACCAGGATTCGGAAGCCACAATTCGAGAGTGAGTTGCCTCCTTTCCATCCTGCTGTTCTTTAGGATTCTCCTCACCTGTCCCGTGATTGAAAAATTCCATGTGGTAGAACACACGGGGAGATGAGCTGTGTGCGCACCTTCAGTTAGACACCAGGGCAGGCTCAGCCGCCACAGGGGTGAGCTGACAGTGAAGATCTTGAGCCTCTTTGCTCCTAAATGCATCTGCCACCTGCTTTCCTACCGCGGGGCCACACGTGTCTGGCTAAGACCCCGTAAAGACATCTGTTCTCCAGATTGTGCCTGGTGGCAGTGCACAGTGGGCAGTGGTCTGGGTGTTCAGGTATGGTAGAGGATACACACAAGAACCTAAACTCTATTTAATTAATTCATTCATTCATTCATTTAAGAATGTGATTAAGAACATTGGAGCTTCTTCCCCAAAGTGGGCAATGGGAGCTGCCTCCGTAAGACTCAATTTCAGGTCTGGAGTTTTACATCTAAATAACCCATCCCTACCTTCCACCCTGGAGGCCGCCCTAAGCCAACCCTTTCTTGCCATGGCATTGCACATAACATAACAGAAATCCAGCTCATCCACTGAGCACAGCATGTGCACACCACACCAAATCTTTCTTCTTCACAACCGAGCACAGCTTATCACCTCCCTGCTACAGCCAGGCCTTTCCGCCCTCTCTGCTGTTTCTGTGGCCTTGAACATGGACTCTGGAGCTTGCCCCAGGAGGTGTCAGGCCAGAACCTCCTCCTCTGAACTTGCCCAACCTAAAAGCCTGTCATTGCAGAGAGAAGACTGGATGTACCTCCCCCTTTGCTAATATAAGTTGAGCTCAATGGGCAGGTTCAGAAAGACTACGAACAAGTTCCTGGGGTTCCTAATATCCCAGGAATGCCAACAATAGAGCTGACACATGGAGGTTCCAGGAGTCGAGCCCAGTGCGGACCCTCCCCAGACAGACACAGCCAAATAAATCTCCAGGGGAGGAGGCAGGACCCTGTGCTTGTAGTAACTGTTCCATTGAGTGGCTAGTCTCATTGAACAGCCAAGCTTGGGAAACATTAATCTAGTCCAAGACCATTAGTTTAGAATGAGAGTCCAGAGGACGAGACATTTCAAGACCACACAGCTCAGCACTGACAAAGTTGGGACTTGAACTCAGGTCTCCAAGCTCTTGTTCATTGGAACCATGTTGGTTCTAAGAGAATTTGTCCAGTGAACCCAAGTTTGGCACAAACAGCTTATAGATGCCTTGAATACGTTGGGGTCACCTTGTATTCAAGTTCCAACTTTGTATTTGTATTAGGGTCACTAGGCTCTGAGAGCTTAAAAATAAATCATTAAAGAAGCACTTTGGAGTCTTGTATATCCAAGCCAAATTTTCTAGTCCTGAGAAACAATCTCCAAACACCAGACTTCCCAGAGAGTCTGGAAAGTGGCTCAAATGCCTCTTGAATAAGTCCCCTCCTCTCCTTCAAATACACTTCTCTCTTTCAGCGTGAACCTGGACATTATGCCGGGCCAGCTGGTGGCTGTGGTGGGCACGGTGGGCTCTGGGAAGTCCTCCTTGATGTCAGCCATGCTGGGGGAAATGGAACACGTTCATGGGCACATCTCCATCAAGGTGAGAGGGAATGCCAAGGAGAAGGCCCTGACACTTGCAAGCAGGCCACTCCGTGCTGCCTCTTCATGTGGCAGGACACACTGGGGACTGGAATCTGACCGTCACTGCCACCGTGTTGTTGTATGGGTGGAAGGTCTTGCAGACATCTGGTAGACCTGTGACCTACAGATTCTTTGCCCCATCTCGCATGTAGAATCACACTCAAGGGGGAGATTCTAAGCATCCGCATGTTTAATGAGCTACCTGGGGGATTCCCACATGCACACCAAAGTTTGAAAACCATTGAAAAGAGAGATGTTTTCCTTCAGAGCATAGGAAAACCCTGCTGCAACGATGTATGTGTTTCTGAAAACTTCATGTTCCACAAAATTATGCAATAAAAATAACCAGACCTGGGAGAAGAGTTGGAACAGATCATAAACTTATATCACTTTGTAACTAGGGCACCAAAAAAACCCCTAATAACCAATAACAATAAAAACAGTGGTGTTGTAAGATCCCCATTGGCAATTGTACCCAGCATCCCAATTAGTCCTGAGCCTCCCACCCCCTCTTTTGGGGGCACTTGCTTCCAATACAAAACTTTGGTGTAAGGTGGAGACATCTCTCTCAATTATGTTGTTAACAGAGAGAAAATGTCTTCGCGGCAGCTTCATCAGCATTCACAGCTTCCCCAGAGAGCTACATTTAGGGGAAACTATAGGTACTTTGAGTCATTTAACCAGCCATTAATTACACCAAAAAGGGGCATGCGTATAGATTTTTAGCTGTTTTCCTTAAGATCTTTGCATATTGCTAAGCCTTCTTTTAATTATGAGAAAGCTCACCCCTGATTGCTTTTCATGGATGTGCTTGGATCATTTGTAAGAACTTCTGCTTCGTACTGACATTATTCCCTGGTTTACCAATCACTAATGAGGTAATTTGCATTAAATCAACACGTAGTGTGGCAGAGCAGCCTCTACAGACTTTTTTCAATTAGAGTTTACATTCAATATTATTTTATGTTAGTTTCAGGTGTACAGGATAGTGGCTAGACCATCATATACTTTTATAAAGTGTTCCCCCCATATTTCTAGCACCCACCTGGTACCATACACAGTTGTTACAGTATTATGACTATATCCCCTGTGCTGTGCTTTCCATCCCTGTGACTATTCTGTGACCACCAATGTGTACTTCTGAATCCCTTCACCCTTCTCATCATGCCCCCGACACCCCTCCACTCCGACAACCGCCATAAACAGTCTGATCTCTGCATCTGTGCAGAGTCTACACTCTGTCCCCCCACCGCGCCCTCAACCTGTCTCTTAACTCCTTTGAGGAAGCTTCTTCTCCCACCCCATAACTGAGTTTTTCCTCAAACACAGGCATCTGTCAGGCTCATCTTCGGACATGATCTGCTTCATGCATCAGCCAGCCCCTGTTTCCAATCTCTTGGTTCCTGCTTCCCCATGTCCTCTGTACCATTCCCCCGTCAGTGCCAGCTTCTGCTGGCCCTAGGAAACGCAATGGGGTCCAGCTAGGATCCTGTTCTAGCAGCAGCACGTGCATTCATTCTCCAGTTTTCAGGATCAGGGCTGGAAGGTGAGAGTCAAACAAATGAGACTTTACATGGCGAGCAGGACTTTGAATTCTTTCTCATTGGCTGGTGTGAAAAATACAAGCACGTTTATAAATATCAGATGTTCAGTCAACCTGACATACATTTCTTCAAATCTAAGTTTCACTCGATCCTCCCGGCTCCCACCCCCTTCCTTCAACCCTGCATTTCTGGAGGTACAGCTGTCGTGTGGTCTGATCCTTTCCCACGCAGGGCTCTATAGCCTACGTCCCCCAGCAGTCCTGGATCCAGAATGGCACCATAAAGGACAACATCCTTTTTGGATCCGAGTTCGATGAAAAGAGATACCAGCAAGTCCTAGAGGCCTGCGCCCTCCTCCAAGACTTGGAAGTGCTGCCCGGAGGAGACCTGGCTGAGATTGGAGAGAAGGTACTTAGAACCTCAAAGGGTGAGAAATAGCGAAGAAAAATGTGAGGATGGTGAAGAAATACATGGGAATACAATAACTGACCGATTTTGGTGGTCATGTTTGGATCCAATACCAAAAAACATGAGTTTGCCCAATATCATATACAAATAACTCAGAAATTTAAAATTTTGTACCTGGAAGCAAATAGGGGGGTTATGTCATCTCAAGGAAACATGATGAGGCGGGGACCCGGGAGGTTAAGTGTCCAGGACTGCCCCAAGGTTGAGGGTGCGGCGGGGGGACAGCACGGGGCCCGAGCCTGGCTGTTCTCTGCTCTGTGTGTTCGTGCGAGTCAGAGAAGGGTCCTCGTGCTCTGCTGTGAACAGTTAGATGTCGAGTGCGACTTATTTCCTCATGTTATTAAATGCCTTCCTTAAAAATGGATTTTTGATGACTATTGTAGATCATTTCCATTATGTGAATTTGGCATCATTTGCTTAGGAACCCCTGACTATCACATATTTAGGTTGTTTTCAGCCTCCCTCCTGTTAAAAAAAAATTAACCAAGTGAATTTGTAGATCTGATTGGCTTTATTGAGTGATTTGTGAATGGGGCAGCGTCCCATCTGACAACGCCAAGGGCGCCCCAAAGGTTGGACAGAAATAGAAAAGAAGAGTGGGGAAGGGAAGCTATTAGGAAAAAAAAGAAATTATTTTGGAGGGCACCTGGACATCTGTTTTTTGTTGTTGTTGTTTCTGTTTTGAGGGAAAGAGAGCAGGGAAGGGCTTTGCCCTGCAGACTGCCTCTTCCTTCTGGGGTGGGGCGGGGGGAGGACGGGGAAGGCCCGCCCACCGGACAGCCTCACTGGCCTCACCCGGAAAATTTCACGCCGGTCGGTTAAGACTGTGTGACTGGGAGAGTTTGAAACAGAAATTAGCGCAGGCATCAAATCTAGGTTTGGTGTCCTGGGCTTTAGCACAAGTGACACCATGTTGGGCCTGTGCTTTTCTCTTTCATTGTCCCCATTACAAAAACTACCTCCAGCAGTCTTTGGGGACAATGATCTTGAAGTGTTAGAAGGCTTGTGAAGAAGATACGGCTCTAGGGTGATTTTGTTCATTAATTCCACACACGTTTATGGAGGACCTCTGTGCCGGGCACGATTTTAGGTGCTGGAGTTCCATCCATGAATGACACAGAGAAAAATCTGCCTGGCACAGTCACATTCTCACGGGACAGGAAGCCACAAAAACAAATCAATTGCACAGTAGAAAATGGTGCAGTGGGCCCACCTTGAGTAATAGGGCCTGAAGTAATTTAGTTGAATCTAAGTTACTTATTTGTAAAAAGGAACTTGTAAGATGTTTAAGCCCTTGATACCTTATTGAGGCAAATTTCTTTCTCACCCTTCCTCAATCTTCTCTGTGAAGGCAGGACTATGGTGAAGTGCTGGGTAAAAAACGATTTTCCTCCCCAGGGTATAAATCTCAGTGGGGGTCAGAAGCAGCGGATCAGCCTGGCAAGAGCTACCTACCAGAATTCAGACATCTACATTCTGGATGACCCCCTGTCGGCCGTGGATGCTCACGTGGGAAAACACATTTTTGATAAGGTCTTGGGCCCCAATGGCCTATTGAAAGGCAAGGTAAGAAACCATTTAAAGTGACAGAGACATGAGGTGTGTGTGTGGGAGAGGGGCAGAGGGGGTCACACACACCTGCTAGGACACCTGCTGTCCCGAAGCAGAGTCCCTTGTGTGCCTGCCTCCCCGGGCTGCTCTGGAGAGAGGGTCAGGCCGGTCTTCCAGAAGCGGACCCCGTGAGGGCTTCCATCGTGAGGTCATGGCTAAATTCAGCCTTCCTCTGTGGCTTGGACATTGAGCCTGTTAGGATGATTGATTATAAAAAATAATACTTTGAGACCTGTGGTATAATAAGAAATATATGTGGTCTTTGTCTCCATTTCCTGGAACTGAACTGCTAACCCTTGGAATTTCCTGAGCCATACCAGGAGTGTCTTTTATTATTCATAACGAGCCCTTTACACACCACAGGAGCCTGTGTTATTAAGTGAGTTAGGGTGGAACCCTCAGATAGGACAAGGCCGTGCACCAGAAAAGCCACGTGGTGGGGGGTTGGAACTTTAGTCCCCCAAATGGCCTCTGGGGATGGCGGGGGGGGTGCGGGGGGGGGGGGAGCCTGCTGGGGAGGGGGGGACTGGAGATTGGGCTACAAAAATTCTTTAACAAGGAGATTTGGAGACCTCTGGGCTGGTGAACCCTTTAAGGTGCTGGGAGGGCAGTGCACCCGGTGAGAGCATGGAAGTCCCAACACACACCCCTCACTCCTTGCCCTGTGCATCTCCTCCATTTCACTGCTCTTGAGTAGTGTCCTTTATAATAAGTTGATAAACATAAGTAAAGTGGTTTTCTAACATCTCTGGGCCATTCTAGCATATTATCACCTGAGGGGGGTCTGGGGGACCCCTGATTTATAGCTAGTGGGCCAGAAGTATGGGGGGCTCAAGCCTTGCTAGTAGCATCTGAAGTCAGGGCACCCTGTGGGGCTGAGCTCTGAAACTGTGGCGTTTGTGCTCAGTCCGGGTCATCAGTGTCAGAACTGAATCGGATTGTCGAACACCCAGCATAGTCAGAGAACTGGTGTCAGGAAACCCCCATCAGCAAACCTCCCCAGAGGACACGACAGCTCACCTTGCAGTGGGACACGGGTCACCCTGCAGGTGTTAGAGCTGTGCTCAAAAAAGACACTTTCCCGGAACCTTTGCAGGATGTAGGAACACTGTGCCTGAAAAGGTTGACTCAACCTGAACATGGAAATAAAGCTGATATTTTTTTGTAACTATTTTTTAACATTTTTTAAAAAGTATTTATTTACTTATTTATTTTTAGATGGAGAGGAAGGGAGGGAGAAAAAGAGGGAGGAACAACAATGTGTGGTTACCTCTCGTATGCCCCCTACTGGGGGCCTGGCCCTTGCCCTGACTGGGAATCGAACTGGCAACCCTGTGGTACACATGCCACCTCTCAATCCTGAGCCACACTAGCCAGGGCTTTCTTTTTTCATAACTATTATATCCCAGGCCTGTGCTAATCACTTTGATTGCATAGTCTCATTTGATTCTCACAATGCCACTGTGACATAGCACAGATAAAGTGGCCAGGACAAGTCATTAGTGCTGGCGGTAGATGGAGACCAGCCTTTTCTCACCATGGACAAGTTAGCACATTCGTCCTCATACAGTGGACCAAGTGGGGGAGGGGCCAACAGAGCCCCTGGAGGGTCTGAATATGCTCCTCACCAGCAGCAAGTACAGAGTGGGGGCTGTCACTGGCAACATCTCCTTCAGCACCAAATAAGCTTCGATCTGTATTTGGCCTGTTCCCGTCAAGATTTCCTGAACATGGCCAGTCAGGATGGCAGGGTTGACTGGGCTGCTGTTCTACTGAGATCTTTTGCTTCTCTGCTGGATCAGTGAGTAGTCAACAGGAACTCACTCTCCCTCCTGCTCCTGCTCCTGACTTTGGTCCTTAAGGTCTCTTGGCTGCATTTATTAATGAACTGAATACCCACCCTGTTCCTGGTTTGTTTCAAAGACTGGCTATGTTTACGCATAGGTAAACATCTGGTCCCTGAACTCAAGGAACTTACAATCTAATGGGAAGATATACAGAGAAACAAACACAATATAATAACACAAGAATTATATTTTTTAAAGTTAAATCTTTTTTTAAAGATTTTATTTATTTATTTTTAGAGAGGGAAGGGAGGGAGACAGAGAGAGAGAGACATCAATGTGCGGTTGCTGGGGGTCACGGCCTGCAACCCAGGCATGTACCCTGACTGGGAATCGAACCTGCGACACTTTGGTTTGCAGCCCGTGCTCAATCCCCTGAGCTATGCCAGCCAGGGCTTAGAATTATTTTAATGGCATTCTACATATACTATAACAGAAACATTAGAGGAAGACCCACATTTTGCCTGGGGACTAGAAAGTCTCCCAGAAGAGTTGGCTTTGAGCTGACACTTGGAGAATGAGCATCTCCTGGGTCTTCCTGATAAGAGGGACCTAGTGCCTGCGGGTCTGTGGAGTAGACAGAGGCAGTGGCTTGGGTTGTCTCTTCAGAAGCCCTTCTTAGCCCTGTGGCTTCTATCTGAGCCTCAGTACTGACCCACGAGTGCTTGTCTTTCTGAGTGGAGTCCCTGTTTCAGTGGTCAGTACGGTTCATCAATAGACAGGAATACAAGGAAGGTGTATCCCACACCAGGAAAGGCCTGGGCCAAAGACAAAGTTTCTTGCCCTACAATGTCACTAATATGCTGAAAGAACCTGGGTAGTTCTTGTTGGCTCAGATGGTTAGCTGGTTAGTGAAAGGGGCAGTTGGTGAGCTGGTTATTTCGTTCCTTATGTCAAGTGACATTCCTAAGCCTGACTCCTGGCTACCCAAGAAGCTGGAGAAGAGTGTGCACAGGGCGCACCTCATTGTCACTATAAAAAATGACTTTGAGTACATCCACAATGACAATAATCTCATCTTGCCCGTGGGTCAGGTTTCAGGATGAGGTGCTAGGGAGGAAAGAGGAAGTGAAAGAGGCCGGGTGTCAGGGCCACATTTTGAAGCAAAACCCCACAGTGAATTGAGGCATCGGCTCTTCCTTCTTCAGAGTAGGGCAAGGAAGGTGGTGGACACAGGGTTCCCAGCACAACTTACTGTTATCTTCACAGACTCGACTCTTGGTTACACATATCATTCACTTTCTCCCCCAAGTGGATGAGATTGTGGTTCTGGAGAATGGCACCATCTCGGAGAAGGGGTCCTACAGAGCTCTGCTGGCCAAGAAGGGATCGTTCGCTAAAAATCTGAAGACATTTAATAAAGACACGGGGCCTGAAGGAGAAGCCACAGGTACGTAAGGATGATTGGAACGGGATAGAATGTGGATGGGGCAAGGCATGGGCGTGGTAAACCGGCATTTACCTCCTGGGCTGCTCAGTATCCAGTGAACTAGACTTGAGTGTGAATTACCCAGAGATCCGAAATCTGTTCCTCCTGTGTTTTGTCTCTGTAAAGAAACCCAGACATAGAAACTCTGAATGAATGCCTGAAGCTGGAGGTTCACCCTGCTTGTCTGGCCTTTGCCACATAATCACAGGGCACTCTTTAGAAGGGTCCGACTGGAGGTTTGGTGTGATTAGCCCTCCCCTCCAGCCTTGGGTCCCGATCTCCGGAGCTGAGAAGCAGCCAACCCCTGAATTGCCTTCAGAGACAGTTTCCCCTTTTCTTGAAGGATGACACATGTTCGTGGCTGGATGGCTCTATTGACCTATTTTCTTCCCGCAGAATCCCAGAATTCCGGGAGTGCCCCTTCAGTTTTTCTCCTCTCTGTCCCCTACAGCCCCAGCTGGCAGCGCTTTGTTAAGATGGTTGATTGGATCAAGTCACATGCCTAAAGTCTTTAGCAAATCTGCTGTTGAGCTTTTCTAGTAAACTTTTTATCCAGTTATTATAATTTTCAACTCTAGAATTTGTATTTTCTTCTCTTTAAATAATTTCTATTTCTTATTGATATTCTCTGCTTGGTGAGAACTTATTCTCATATTTCCCAGGAGCTCTTTAGACATGATTTTCTTTTGTTCTTTGAACATATTTATAATAGCTGATTTAGAGTGTTTGATAAGTTCAATGTCCATGCTCCCTCAGGTACAGTTTCTGCAGAGTGATTTCCCCCTGTATATGGTCCCATAATTTCCTGCTTCTTTGTATGTCTCATAATTTTTTGTTGAAAACTGATCATTTGAAATAACATAACACAACACTCTGGAAATAAGATTTCTCCCTCTTCTGCCAGGGTTTGTTGTATTGTCCCACCTGTTTAGTTTCTTGAACTATTCTGATAAATCTGTATTCTTTGTCACCGGTGGCAACTGAAGTCTATGCTTGGTTGACTGAGGGGTCAGGTAATAACTGAACATTATTTCCTGGAGTGCTGGGAACCCATAAGTCATTCTGCCTTTTCTAAGAGGTGAGGGCATGTCTTTAACACTCCACTGGGCAATTTACAATTCTGCCTCAGCTGGGGGGGTTTATTTTTGCGTTTGTTTTTTTCTGCTTATACAGAGCCTGATGGTTAGCCAGAGGTGAGAAAATAGGGCCTTGTCAAGTTTTCTTGGGCATGTGCATAGCCCTACACATCTATGTGACATTTTAGATGATCAGGAATATGTATCAAGGCTCCTTATGAATACCTCATTCCTAGCTTTTCCTTTGAAGTTTTTGGTCAGCTTGTTATATACCCAACTGTCATGACAACCTCAGGCAGCAGGGATGTTGAACAATTGCTGCTGACTGTCTGAGCTAGCTAGTTCCAAGTCAGGCCCAATAAAGACCAGCCCTGTGAATGAGGTTTTCCTGGGAATGGCCAAATGAGGAAAATTCTCCAGGGGTGAGGCGTGGAGAGTGGGGGATCCAAACCAGTCTGTTGCCTCCAGTAGCCGCTAGGCTGCTGGTTTTTATCATTAATATGATTGTGAGGCTGTTGGTTCTCTAGGCTGCAGCAGGTATGAGGAGAGGGGAGTGGGAGTAGAGTAAATTAAATGGTCATAAAGCTTACTATTCTTACTAATATTTAGTCATTTTTCTTAAATTAATGTTCCTTGGATTGTTGCAAGCTTTTGACTAACTTCAGAGTTATGAAAAAGTTGTTTTTTACAATTTTCTGCTATTCTCATCAGCTCTATGGAGGTACCAATTTCTGGATGTCCTTACTTTACCATTCTGATGCCGAGGTTATGTTTGCATTTTATTTTATTTTCAGGGCATGTTTTTAAATGCTTTAAATTTATGAAAAGTTTGTCAAATTATTGGAGTTTCAAGAAGGGGATTTTAAATTTATGCTTACCTCTTTAGTCAGTTCTAAGGCATGACTCTTGTGTTTGTCTACTATAACCCTTAAAATTCTTTCCTGCTCCAAAGCAACTTAGAAGATTCTGGGAATATTTTTCTCCTTTTGACCATTTTATCTTCCAGTGGAATATTAACTTATTTCTCCTTTATCATGGTATTTCTCAACGAGAAAATGTACCGATAGGTAGTACTTCTGGAGTGAAAGATTCCAGCCTGTGTGGACGTCCGGGATCTCTAGCGAGCCCGGCAGTGCCAGAAAAGACATCCCACTCCTTGTCCGCAGGGCTGTGAGAGCTCTGTGCAGCTGTCTCTCTAACCTTTGATGTGTCTCCTAGTCCATGAGGACAGTGAAGAAGAAGATGACTATGGGCTGGTGCCCAGTGTGGAGGAAATCCCTGAGGATGTGGCCTCCTTGACCATGAATAGAGAAAACAGCCTTCGTCGGACACTTAGCCGCAGGTTGGTCATCTCTTCAGCTGGCAGCCCCCATTCCTCCCATATTTCCTCTTGGTCATTCTCTTTTTCTACGTGCATAGTGGACCCCATGAACACTCGCTGCTCTTCCTTTGTTTCCTTGTATGGGGATGAGGGTTGGGGTAGTTTGTTTCCCCAAGGCTACCTGCTTTGAAATGAACTTGGATACGGTCAGAGAGACTGTGCCATCTGCTTGTGAAAAGCCCCTCGGGATGCATCTGCATGCTCAGGAAAGCCCCCCCCACCCTTTTCAATTTCTCAGATCTAGGTCAAATAGCAGGCCTCTGAAGCCCCTGAAAAACTCCTTGAAAACTCGGAATGTGAATGCCCAGAAGGAGGGGGAAGAACTGGTGAAAGGACAAAAATTAACTAAGAAGGAATTCGTACAAACCGGAAAGGTGAACACAGCAGTACAATGTGCCATTAGAGGTTATATAAGGCTCAGAATCCCAACATTTCAAAGTTTCACGACTTGAAAACACATCTCTGGCAGCGCTGTGTCTTATGCTTGCTTTGTAAATCTTTAAATTCATTATTGAAATGTTGGTAGAGACTCTGGCCTTTCTATCAAATCATATTTCCACGAAGAATGATGTTTCCTGCGAATGTCTGCATGGCACACTTCCTGGGTGTTGGATTCTGTGCTGATCTGTGGGGCAAACACCAAAGCTGCTTTGAGATGCAATTCTGGAAGCCAGAGGCCACTAGTCCATCTCAGAGTACGCAATTCAGATGAACAAAACTTAACTTAAAACCAAGGTCTTAAATTTAAGGTCTTAAATCCAAATCAATGAAATAGATTCCAGGGTATACAGTTTAACCCCATTTGTCACACTCCATTTGTCTATCTGCCCCCTTTTAATTGCTTCTAGAAGTTCATTAATAATCTGATGGTCATTTACCTTGCATTGTATTTAAGCACTGATTATTATCCTGGCCCAATGCAGAAATGATAACCACAGACTACCAAAGTCTTCTACTTGTGATCCATTTTTTTTCTGGGGACCACTCTCCTCCTTGTGATTGGTATTTTAGGTAATTCTCCACCAAAAGCCATTATGAATTCTACTAACATTGAGATGCGGACTTTGCAGGTCAAGTTCTCCATCTATCTGAAATACCTGGGAGCAGTAGGATGGTATTCAATCTTCTTCATCACCCTTGCTTATGTAATTAATTTTGTGGCTCTGATTGGATCCAATCTCTGGCTCAGCGCTTGGACCAATGACTCTAAAACCTACAATGCCACCAACTATCCAGCTTCTCAGAGGGACATGAGAGTTGGCGTCTATGGAGCTCTGGGATTAGCACAAGGTATGTCTGATGGGCTCATAAATCAACCTTTCCTTGACATAATACTGTCCTGGTCAACGTGTTTGCCTAGACTCGCAAACAAAGAACTGCACGATTGTGTCTTGGCGCAGGACTTCGTTAGGGATCCCTATGTGGACGCGCTGACTGCACTGTTTCCATTTCTAGGGATATTTGTGGTCACAGCAAATCTCTGGAGCGTCCATGGCTTGCCGACATCAAGACCTGCGTCACATGCAAACTGCTGATCCAGTATCGAGCACGTGAGTTTGCTCTGTGACATGACACCCATAGGCCGGATTGTGAACAGGTTTGCTGGTGTAAGTATCTCGAGGGCTTTGAGATTATGTGTTTTCATGCTGAGGATCTTTCTATTTCTGACAGGGAAAGAATGCTCACATCCCTGTGGGCAACACTGTGTAGTTCTTTTGTCCATCAGCATGCAAACGATTTCTTGAGTACTTTGGGTGAGGTTGCAAGGAATACTTGGGCGCATCATCCAGCCAACCGAACAGTCCTCCACTTGACGGCTTGTGGTGTAGCTCTCGCATCGCGTGCGCCAGTACAGCCAAGGAAATAAACTGATCGCTAATGCCGTATGGTAAAGTCCTAGGTAACGCATGTGTACACTGGTGTCCTGAGTACAAAATGAGTGACAGAGAAAAGAGGAGCGAGCTCAGCCTGTAAATTACAGGGTGGGAACATGATGAAAGGGTGAGACCTAACTGTACATGATGTCTAGCTAGGGAGATGGGTGTGTGTGCCGGTCGGCAGTAGAACTGCAGGGTGAGTGAGACTGCGTGCAGAGGGAAAACACAAGTAACAGCATTATCACTGACTGTGACAATGAATCAAAGGAATAGCAGGGTAACCCTCTGCTTGGTCTCCACCTCCATTCCTGAAACGCCGCCTGCGCTTTCAGACACGCACATTAGATCTGGATTGTGGGAGAGAGGCACCTGTGGTTTTACGGAGGTTCTAAAACATTGTCTCTATCTACTGTAAATCATTCATTCATTTATTCATTTGACGACATTTACTGAGCACCTTCTACAAGCCAAGGACTGTCCTAGTCATTGGAATGCCCAATAAATGTTAAGATTATATAGATGGCTCTCTTCCATGGGCCAGACCAGACTTATTGATTCTTTTTTTTTTTTATATCCTCGCCCAAAGATACACTTATTGATTTTAGAAAGAGTGGAAGGGAGGGAGGGAGGAGGGAGAAAAACATCAGTGTGAGAGGGAAACATTGATAGGTTGTCTCTCATAGGTGCTCCAACCTGAGACCAAACCTGCAACCTAGGTGTGTGCCCTGACTGGGAATCAAACCTGCAGCTTTTCAGTGTATGGGACAACATTCCAACTATCTGAGCTACCTTGCTAGGGCCAAACTCATTGAATCTTAATGCATATGAGATGGAACTTTTAGGAACAGAGGCAAAAACTAGGCAATTCTGAATAGTATTGAATGGTCACCAGCACAGTTTTCAGTCCTTTGCAGAAGAGTGAGTACATATTTTAAAACGTCTGAACAGCTCTGGACCCTTTTTTTGTGTGATCTTGGAGCAGACACAGAAAGGCTAGCTCATAGCCCACTGCCAGGTTTGGGGACACAGTGACTGCTTCAAGAGTGGGCATTTACCACCTTCCTCTGGGACAAAAATGGTGGGCCTGATGTCACTGGAGACAACTTTAATGGGCTCTCTGCTCTTTAAAAGAACCTTAAACGGCACACCATTTTCAACAGGGAGATTTCACACAGGTGCAAAAAATTGCAACCTGTTCCTGACATTGTAATACATAATTAATCTTCTGAAAGAGAGAACACAGAGATCTTACTGTGAGTTACTTAGGCAACAGTTGTATTTGGCTGCTTTTGCAGGAAAAAAAAAGCTGTGATTAATTATATAGTGAGTTTTATGGGGGAAGTGGCTCAGGCCCATAAAGGACAGTTTGATCTAGGGTCCTCTAGAACTAAAGGTTGGGCCCTTAAGAGGAGATGGATGAGGAGGTGGAGGAAAGAAGGAGAATCTGTGCCAGGTTAGAGTCAAAAGGAATGTGCAGTGAACTGAGAGCTGGTGAGATTTCTTTTTTCTGCCAACCCTGGACATATTATTATTCACATCCTGATGTATACTCAGGAGTCATCCACTCTTCAGGACTCTGTTAGGAAACTGCTCTCCCTTGCCCAGTTTGGGACACTTCAGAGATAATATGGACTCAGTTTGATACTTACATATTACTAATCTTTGAATCAACAGATTCTAAGAAATATGGGCAAGGGAAATCCAAAAATATAATCTATGCTTTCTGTATATACTCAACCATCCATCCTTCCATCCACTCATTTGCTCATTTATTCAACATGACGGTGATACCACAAAGGTGATATGGTAGCAAGACCCCTTCATTATCTCTGGTTAGAGCACCAGCCAGAATAGACCCCACCTCCCTATCCCCTTGCAGTTCTATGCTTGACAGAGGAAACAACTTTCCAGGTTCCTCAGTCAAGGTCGGGGGGTGGTGTGTGGCAGGGCTGCTTGCCTGTAGCCACCAAACACATGTTTATTGAATGCCTGTGATACACCAGGCTCTATTCAAGGTACTCAGCGGGACTGGGGCCTGTGTAAAGTTAGAATAATTGAAATGACTTGGCTGGAGGAGGGTTTACCTTGTAAGGCTTTATTAGCTTAGGATGGTTATGAATGGTTTAATAAATTTCACAAATGGGAATTTCACCAAAAAGAGTAAATCTGTTGAAGGGTGACTGCCATATCTGTTTGGAGTGATTTAGAAAAATAAAGACATTACAGAAATGACATTGCTTTTCAGGGTGAGCAGAACAGTCTATGGCAAATGAATATCATGAAGTGATTAAATGAAGGAGTCGCAGAGAACTCAGAATTGAACACATTCCCCGCTGGAATCAGGAAAATCTAGAATGCCATAGGAAGTCATCAGTATACCATCTTTCCTAACTGTGTTCCTAGGATATTTCCACGGTGGACGACACCCTCCCCACGTCCTTGCGCAGCTGGATTTTGTGCTTCCTGGGGATCATCAGCACCCTTGTCATGATCTGCACGGCCACTCCAGTCTTCATCATCATCATCATTCCTCTTGGTGTCATTTACGTGTCTGTCCAGGTAGGCTCGGAAATGGCTGCGTCTCCTTTCCTCTCTGTTTATAAGGCCCAGCTTCCTTCCTGGGAATCTTCTCCTTTGTTTATTGCTCGTCACTCACTCCTCTTCAGCATCTTTGTTATTCACTCATATCAGAAGCTGAGGAGCCCACAGGCCACTATCTGGAGCTGAAGTGGCAGCACCAATTGGTGCGTGGCCCACAGCAAATCTCACCTTAACTGCTGTCCCCCAAGAAGCTTAAGTGGGGCAATCTCATGTTCACATCCAAGACTGCCCTGAGGGGGTCCCTGGACCAAGTTGTGAAGCTCTATAAGACCCCCCACAAGGGTTAGGTCATTGGTTGCTATGGCTGCTTCCTTGGCTGATCCGCTTGCAGTTCCACTTGGAGTTCTCTCCACAGGAACTCCGTCTCTTTTCTCTTCAGGGCAGGTCCAGTTTCACTGGGTCCTTTGGGTGGCTCAGGCTCAGTTCCAGTGTGTTCTTGAGGGAACAGGTAGCTTGAGAACCAAGCTCCACAGAAAAACTGGAGCAAGTGGAAGGGACTCCATGCTCATAATGAAAACCGATGCAGGGAGGGAGCTGTGGAGAGAACTCGTGTCCCGCCAGTTACCTTCAGGACAAACAGGAAAACTATTCTGACCTTGCAAGTCAAGGGCAGGTTGTGAGGGGTCTTCCCCTGGTGTTCGTACTGAGTTCTTCCTCGGGTACATTGTCATCTTGGTAACAGCCTTCTGACTGTTCATAACAAACCAATAAATAAGATGCAGGATATTAGAGAAAACCTTCAGGCATCATGCTTTGAGTTCTGGCTCTCAGATGCTGAGCTCTTTCCTGGTTTCAACAAACCCTCACAGAATCCAGCTGCACCACTAACCCTCTCCACCAGACCTCACCCTTCAGCCCCCGGGGGCTCAGAGAGTCGGCCTACACTCTCTGTCACGCCCAGCTCTGGCTCTCGGACCCTCAGCGGTCCACACACCTCTGGGCCCTCTCTCACCACAGCACCGAGGCACAGTTTGGGCCACCACCTGTCTCCACTCAACTGTTATCCACGCCTCCCTCCAAATGCCCTTCTCTGGCCACTTCCTGACCACCCCACTTTCCACAGCCCTTGGGTCCCATCTGCGTTTACACAGTCATTTTGGAGACCATTTTTTTTCTGTTACAAAAAAACCTGTCATTTGGACAATATGAGCAGATCCTTGGGGAGAGCATGGACTAGGCTGACAAAACTGCTCACGTGGATTGGAAGTTCAGACCACGGAGGCTGCGAGAGAGCCTCCTCACTGCCCTCTTCTTCTGTTCCCCACCAACCTCAGCTCTTCCCACCACCCTCTTCCTCTGAGCCCCTCTCATCACTCTTCCGGCCGGGGGCGAGACTGGAGGCTTCCGTCCTGTTCAGTGTGGGCCATGACCAGCGAGGTGAAGAAGGAAGAGGTACAGCCAACGTGACACAACTGTGTGACTAACCGACTCCCTACTTTTGGGGTCTAGATGTTCTATGTGGCCACTTCCCGCCAGCTGAGACGTCTGGACTCCGTCACCAGGTCCCCACTCTACTCTTTCTTCAGTGAGACTGTGTCGGGCTTGCCTGTCATCCGCGCGTTTCAGCACCAGCAGCGATTCCTGAAACACAATGAGATGTTGATTGACACCAACCAGAAATGTGTCTTTTCCTGGATCATCTCCAACAGGTGAGGCTTCCCTGGGCGTTCACCCAAAAGTGTGCTTTGGGGTGCTGCGCACGTGACATTAGCTATGGGACAACAGACATGGCCAGTGGTAAGAAAGTCACTCTAGCCAAATGCGCCTGCAGTGGAAGGAGAGAGGAGACAGCAGGAGCTGCGGCATCAGAGACCCAGGCCCAGTGTCCGCTCCGCCACTCCCCACGCGAGGGGAGCTGCCTCCGCCCCTCTAGGGAAACCTCGCTCTGTTTGTTCCGACAACGGACAGGGCCCAGGCTTATGGCGCAAGTCAGACAATGTCTGTGAGCACAGTGCGACCCGGGTCCTGCACAGGTGTTGGGGGACCTGGGTATCCTCTGTCTGCTTCCCCAGGAGTACATGTGAGATTCTGCACAGGGAGGACAACCCTCTGTGGGTGGCAAGAGAAGCAGAGGCTGGAGGGAGGGGATGTGGGAGTTGTTAGGGAAAGACAGCGATGACATTGGAAAGCTCACATCCTGGGGAGGGGGAGTTGCTAAGGGGGGTGAGCATTCTTCACTTCTCCAGCATCACTAGACCCTGGCAAGAAGCGGTGGGTGCTTGAAGGAGAAAGGCCTTGTAGAGGAAGTGAAACTCTTGAGCGCCTTCCACATGGTCTGGAGGCGCTAAGGGCAGGCCAGTGGTCTCAGTGTTATCTGGAACATGGAGAGGCCAGGAATGTGACGGTGAAGATATTTGATTTCTTAGGTACTTTTCACAAGGGAAACAGGTATATAAATCAGCCCCATTGGATGCCCATTGTAAACATGGATCATATTTATTTGTACAATGCTCAAATTATTGGTGCAAATTTATTTAAACACACCTTACTTGGGAAGTCAATGTTTGTAAACTATGTCTGTCTATATCCTACTTGCTTCTCTACAGTTGACCTCCCTGTGGTCACGTCACGCCTAACTTCTCCCCACCCCCAGACTCCTCTCTGCCTCTTCAAAACCGTGAGCTCAGACAGGACGCGCTGCACTCCGCCCTGCCGCTCCCACGCAGGTTCTCCCGGGGCGTCCGGCCTGCGGCCCACAGGCCGCGAGTGACTCAGGATGGCCATGCACACGGCCCAATACAACATCGGAAATTTACTTAAAACATTATGATACTTTTTTGTTATTACATGTTGCAATGTATTTAATGCATGGCCCATAACAAGTCCTCTTCTTCCAGGGTGGCCCAGAGACACTGGAAGCTTGGACGCCACAGAGAGTGTGGCACGATTTCCCCATCTAATCAGAAGGAATCACCTGGAACATTTGTTTAAACGCAGGTTCCTGAACCTCACCCTAGGCCCCCTGAGTCAGAATCTCCTGGAGAAGAGTCCAAACTTTTTTTTTTTGCATGATTTTGTATATTTTTAACAATTGCTCCTAACCGGATTGCTCCTAACTGGATAACCAGCAACATTTAGGTTTGCAGGACAACGCCCAACCTACTGAGCCACACCAGCCAGGGCAAGAAAGAAATTTCAAATGAGTCGGTCTAATAATTCCCTGTCCTTTTGCCTTTTTGCTTGATTCTAGTCAAAGGAGGGAAAATATTAGTTTCTTTTCCATAATAGCAGTAACCAGAAGGTCTTTTAAACAAATAACTTCTACTTCGAATCCTTATGATTCGATAACTTTGGGAGACACTGAACCAGCAGGACCCCCTTAGTTCAGACAACTCCACTGGTGTCCTTAAGGTGCAGGGTTTTTCTAAAATCCAACGTGGAAGACTTTAGGAGCACATGGTAGGGTCAGACTGAAGCTCCTGCTGGGAACACATTCTCCCAGCTCAAGCCCCTGGAATGTTCTACGAACACGTCTTCTCTCCGCTGCTGGGTCAGGTGAGGAGGCGGGTCCCTCCCTGTGACACCTCGCTCTGGTTCTGTCGTCCTGCAGGTGGCTTGCCGTGCGTCTGGAGCTGGTTGGGAATTTGATTGTCTTCTTTTCGTCCTTGATGATGGTGATTTATAGAGACACGCTGAGTGGGGACATTGTGGGCTTCGTACTGTCCAATGCGCTCAATGTGAGTCTGAAGGGTGGGACTGCGGTTAAATTACTGTGCTCATTCTTGAACTGCGCCCAGAGTGTGCCCTGAGCCCAGCTCTTGAGTCTTTTCGAGATCCAGAGGCACTGGGGAGCCTGAGGTTCAAACCCCAGCTCCATCTCTTACCAGTTGTGTAACTCGCAGACACGCTCCGTCCTCTTTCTGAATAGGTACCAGCGTCATCTGGACATAAATGTTGTTGCTCTTGGGAGTTAAGGAAGCAATTTTTTAAAATATTTTATTTATTTATTTTCAGAGAAGTGGGAGGGAAGGGAGAAATACTGATCAATGTCTTCTCGCATACCCCCAATGGGGACCCGGCCCACAACTCAGCCATGTGCCCTGACCGGGCACTGAACCAGCAACATTTAGGTTTGCAGGACAACGCCCAACCTACTGAGCCACACCAGCCAGGGCAAGAAAGCAATTTCAAATGAGTCAGTCTAATAATTCCCTGTCCTTTTGCCTTTTTGCTTGATTCTAGTCAAAGGAGGGAAAATATTAGTTTCTTTTCCATAATAGCAGTAACCAGAAGGTCTTTTAAACAAATAACTTCTACATTTATTTTTCTTAGATTACAGAATAATGGAAGATAATTCTGATAAAGAACACAGAGTTCAATAAGACTATACTGCATCCTCAGAGTGACAAGGGGCTAAAGGTTAGACATTATTCCCCAGCACCGAAGACAGTGGCTGGCACTATAGTAAATGTTCAATAAATGATACCCATTTAATGGGTCCTTCAGTCATCTTTCCCGGTGTCTTTCTGCACTAATACTGGGATTTGCATAGCTACAGCACCCTCTAGCTGGTGCTGTCTTCAGTAGACATTAGTGAGGCCCAAGGCGATTGTGGCAACACCCGGAAGGATGCTGTTGTTCGCCAGAGTGCCACACTGTTCCCTGTGCCACTGGTTCTTTGTCCACCCTTTTCCAGCCTTATTAACCTAAGAGAGAGGGGACAAAGAATTAGAGAACTATTAGAGTGAACCAAAACAAAAACATTCAATATCAACAATTTTATGTGTTTTCCACCTACACAAAATGCTCAACTCTTAGTCCCCTTGATCCTGTGCTCTCCCTCTTTCTAACCACCATTCACTCAACAAAAACTGGTCTGAGTCTCTACCTGGAAGAAGCTTCCCGAGGCTCCAGATCATGACCACCCCCTGTTGGTGGTGAGAGGCATCTCTGTAACGGCAGCAAGGCACCGGGAGTTACTGGGTAAAGGAGGACAAGGATCCACCCTGAGGGCTGGGTTCTCAAAAGAGCTGTTGCTAATTGAGAGCAGAGAGAAGAGGCAGCCTTTTGGAAGGTGTTTTCCCACCTGGTGCCTTTCCTTATGTTTTCCCCATTTGTAGAAGGCCACCCTCCACCCCTTCCACAAAGAACTCGAGGCTCACAGGCAGGAGAGCCACGTTCTGGTTCCTCTCCACCACCTGCCAGCCCCTGCAGCCCCAGCTCTAGCCCCAAGACACTCCAGGCCCATATCGTCGTTCATGCGAGCACCACGCAGTCGAGCATTTGGTTGTCCTCCAGCTATTCAATGCCCCCACCTCACGCACTTCCTCCTTCAAGGGGGCAAACATTACACTTACGCTTTCCTTGCTCCCCGGTAGAGGAGAGCTCAGCACGATGCTGAGTGCTGAGCAGGCACCGGATCGATTTTGTGGTTTGACAAGTTGCATTGGTTCCTGAGCCCGAGACGATCTTTAGTCTTCTGGTTTTTCTGTAGATCACACAAACGCTGAACTGGCTGGTGAGGATGACGTCAGAAGTTGAGACCAACATTGTGGCCGTTGAGCGGATAACTGAGTACATAAACCTGGAAAGTGAGGTAAGACGTACCAGAGAGACTAAGGGACCAGGCAAAGACAACGATGGGACTCCTCTGACAGAGCATTCTCACCTTGTCCAGAGGTCACACATGGGGGCTTATAAAGGTTCTCCTAAGAGTTCCCCTTGCTGTAACTCAAATGACCCGATTTCTTTAAACTTAGAATAGGAAATGGTTTGGGGAAAGTCACATCTTCGAATGTACTAAGTTAAATCGTGGCTCCGTCTGGAGGCCTTGTGAGATAGGGTTTTTTCGACTGAATAAGGCAGGAACCTCTGGAAGCTCTAGTCTAGTTCCGTCTATTAAACGTAGATGCCCACAGGCGTCTGATACACTGCTACCCCTCTATTGCTCTGCGACTCGAGTCCCACAGAGACTGTTCAGCGAGTTGACTCCATGTAAAAACATTTCCCGTCTCCTTGCCAGGCACCCTGGGTGACTGATAAGAGGCCTCCGGCAGGCTGGCCCAGCAAAGGGGAGATTCAGTTTAACAACTACCAAGTGCGGTACCGGCCTGAACTGGATCTGGTACTGAAAGGGATCACTTGTGACATCAAGAGCCAGGAGAAGGTAGGTGGGACTGAAGAAAGGCTGGGATGTGGGTCCTTGTGATGGAAGGGCAGCTGGACACAGAGGTGGTGAGCAACCAAGCCCAAGTCTTTGATCTTTCCTGCGTAGTGACAGGATCTGGGCACTTCCCCGGCTGGGAAATGTAATAACACAGCGCCACCACCAGAGGGCAGGATATCCACATGGGGTCCATCGGACTTACTGGGACTGTGAGGCCTTTCTGCTCAGCCCTGCCCTGCCTCCTTGCGCTCATTTCCCTGTAGCTGACCAGGGCTTATTTCCCGAGAGGGCCAGAGAATGTAAAGAGGAAGTCAGGAAGCACCTCGTTTGGGGAAAGAACTGGTGAGAATAGTTCTCCTTCAGGTTTTGCAAAGTCCTGCACCCTCTTTTGGTGTCCTTGCTCTCTGAGGACTTGGGGTCTGATGCAGGACCAGAAACTGTGTCTGAGGAAGGATGCTGAGGTCCAAGTCAGGGTCTGGTTCTCAGCTGATGGTGTTACAGAAAAGACGACTCAAACGGCTTCCGGGTTTGCAAAGTGGAGTTTTATTCACGCATGCAGACCCAGAGGAAACAGATTCCAAATTCTGGGCTCCGAGTTCAGGCTGGGGCTGGCTTATATTCTTGTAACAAAGGCAGAAGGAGGAGGGGGAAGGAGTGCAGCTGCTGAAAGCGGGCATACAGAAGCAGAAAGCGGGAGTTAGTGTATGACCTTGAGATAACTGCTTATGGGAATGGCTGCTGTCTGAGAATGGCTGCTGTTCAGCTATGTCCTGTCACAGTGGTAGGCCTGATCATTCCTTTCTCCTCACTTCTAATCAAGGATTTTAAAAAATCTATAGTTTCCAATAATAATTATAACAACAGTTGCTGATGTGTCCATTTCCAACAGTCACTGGGGTTCTCGGCAAGCCACAGTTTAGGGGCGGGATGGGACAGCCATCTTGTTCCAACATCTGAGCCATTTTTCCCCACCGAACCCCAAAGCAGTTTAACATCTTAGAGATCAAGAGGCTAATCACTGCCTCTTTCCTCCTGTGATTCTGACTGCCCCAGGCTGCATTTTTCTCCACCAACAATTGCATGGTGACCTAACCTGGGGACCTCTTTACAGATTGGTGTGGTGGGCAGGACCGGAGCTGGGAAGTCATCCCTGACAAACTGCCTCTTCAGAATCCTGGAGGCTGCAGGCGGCCAGATCGTCATTGATGGGGTAGATATTGCTTCCATTGGGCTCCATGACCTCCGAGAGAAACTGACCATCATCCCCCAGGTGAGCTCTCGCACTTGCTCTGTCGCACACGGCAGGGGACAGATGCAGGAAACTTGTGCATCTTCTTGATGCAGATTCCATGAGCAGTGTTATTTCTGCAGTCTACCAGGGCGCCTGGGCTACTTCCCTCCCTAAGACACACTGTTTCCGAACTTCCAAAAATAAGGTCTGTCTTGTCTTTTCTTTTCTTTTCTTTTCTTTTCTTTTCTTTTCTTTTCCTCTTCTCTCTCTCTTTTTTTTTTTTGGCAATGTGCTCATGTGACTGCCTGTATCTAGCCAATAGGTGGCAGCAACACAACAGAAGTCAAATAAAGCAGATGATTATTTAGCATTTCTATAGCCCAGCATGGTTTGCGAAACCTTTTGCAATCAGCATTAGCAGTTTCGCCGCTGAAGCTTGAAACCATTAAGCTTTATATTCCTCATTTGATAAGGTTAAAAGGCAGAGTAGGGAATTTGCTGCAGGTTTCTGCCAGCAAGCCAACACTCAGTGCGTGGGCAAGAAAGGCTTCCCTTTCGCTTCCTCTCTGGACCCCACCGAGTAAGGACTGCCCTGGAGGCTTCTGGGTGGCTTGTGGGTCCTCATTAGAACCGCCCCTCCTCTGCTCCCTGCAGCCAAGTCTCTGGGGGCGGGTTTGGTTTGTTGAGGGTTTGTTCAGTTTGATGCGCTCTTTTCTCCAGCCTCTTCAAAGGCGTAATAAATTCTCCTGTGACTGTAGCACCCATGACCCTTCCAACTCCACACCATGCGTTTTCCTGTGGGAGTGCGGGGCTTTCCACCCAGCTTTCCCTCTTGGGCCAGTCCGACTCGCTGTCTCCCAGCCACCCAGCACCGCGAGCCCCTTTTCTGCCATTAGCCCCAACAGCCCCTTCGTCCCTTGACACGCAGGACCCCATCCTGTTCTCTGGAAGCCTGAGGATGAATCTGGACCCTTTCAACAACTACTCAGATGAGGAGATCTGGAAGGCCCTGGAGCTGGCTCACCTCAAACCCTTTGTGGACAGCTTGCCACTCGGTTTGTCCCACGAGCTGACAGAGGCTGGAGACAACCTCAGGTAATGTTTCCGAACCCACCGACCCACTGGCAGTGAGAGGCAGTGAGGGGGACCACTGCGTGGCTCCGTGTGCTGGCGGGAGCCTGGCATGGTCCAGGTGTGACCCCTCATGTGTCAAGGGGACCTGCTGTGGAGATGACATGAGAGGACGGATGAAAATGTGCATGGGAACTGCTGACTGTTGGTGCGTGAGCCCTCATGAGACTTTAAATGGAGTTCCCAGGTCCGCCTTTGTGCAGTTTTTCTCTTAGCTGCTCCCTGCAGTCAGGACAAAACAATCCCGAAGCCTAGTCGGAGCCCAGAAAGTCTGATCTCACCGGTGTGAGGGGCGCACTGGACCTGGGAGTGCCACAGGATCCCAGGGGTCGCTGTGGGCATCCCAGGCGGACAGCACAGGTATACAGGGCATTCGGTGACGGGGATGTGGCATCCACCCAGTCCGCAGGCACCCGAGACACCTGAAACTGGCAGACTCTCTGCTTCCCAGTGCTTTCTGCCTTTCCAAAGGCTTTCTGTGAATGCTGACAATTCACATTTACTTACAGCCTTCATTCACTATGTGCTTAGCTGTCAGTCAGTAAGTTGACCTGGCAATTTCCCTTTGACAACTGGGTGTTTCCCTCCACACGCTGACGTTCAGCCCTCAGCCAGAGCCCACTGCTCTGACGCAGACCTTCCCGCAGCCCCAGGGGCCCTGGGCGTGGCCAGCAGGGCCAGGGCCACTAGCAGGTGAGGCTCATCAACGAAGGGCGGCCCAGTAACTCGACTAGTGGAGCAGCAGCTCTGGCTTCCCCCTCGGACTTGTAGATGGAGATACTTAGGCTCTTGACCAGAATCTGCAGTTTAGTAAGATTCCTCGGTGATTTTCAGGTATATTACAGTTTGAGAAGCACAGCCCAGAACACTGGTTCTTAACTAGGCTGCACACTAGAATCACTTAGGAATCTTTTTTAAAAAAAATCTCAATGCCCAGGCTGCACCCCAGACCAGCTGACTCAGGGGCCCAGGTGACTTCAGTGTGCGGCTTCGGGATAGAAGGCTGCCACGTTTGTTTTCCCCCAGAAATGGGTGTGGGAACCAGCAGGACTTAAGTGGGCCTGTAGCCTACGAAATAGACCATTCAAACATTCAGTCGACAGATACACCTTGAGCATCCACCATATGCAGGCACTGGAGATAGAGCGGGAGAGGACACAGACCCAACCGCTGGCCACCCAGCACCAGCGGCGCAATGGGGAAGACAGGCTTTGTGTGAGGAAATGCCAGGCAGCAAATGCTGCAGACGCAAGGGACCGTGTGTGACCCTCCATCAGGATGTGATGGGGGGCCTTGATACTTCCGGTTTGTAAGAACAAAAAATGGCACCATCCTCCTCTGTGCTGGGAGACACCTCGACGGCATCCCCAGTGCCTTGATCTCAGACCTGGTTTGGTGGTGTTGAAACGTAAATTTCCCAGAGATCCATCAGCTGGGGGAGAGAGAGAGGCAGCAGCTGAGAGCCAAACTGGCGGCTTGGCAGCAGCCTGTGGTGTGAGGCCCAACAGAACCAGCAGCAGTTGGGCATAAGTTCAGGAACTAGTTTTGCAGTCGCCTCTGTTTTTACAGTACAGAGAGAAACTGGCAGCTCATCTTGGGTGACTTCTCATCTGCAGAAATTTTCTCCCAGAGAATTACAGAACTTTTAGTCTAGCCACACTCTGTTTAATATGTTCCCTAATGGCCACAGCAGGCAAGAGCAATCAGCTAATTACGGAATATTTCCTCCACATCATTTCCCAAAGCTTTTCTGTGTAAGTAAGAGGTCCAGCCTTCATTACCAGCTCTTTGCAAATTAAAGTGATTTGCATTTCACAAGCATATTCAAGTTCCACATATATTGCATCTCACACCAAGACATCATGTTCATTAAGATAGCTACATCTCTAATAGAGGCAGAAGGCCTCAAACAAATAATTAGCCTTGAGACTAGAATTACACATTAAAATAACAGATGGATTTGCTAAGGCCACTAAGAAATGCCACTGAGGCACTCTGAGGCAGTGTCGCCCTATCTTAATGGTGTCAGGTCAGACACTGCAGAAATGAACTTGGGGCATCCATCTTGCTTTGGAATTGCTGCTGTGCCAGGATGGCGCCGTAGCCAAGTGCAAAGCGTTATTGCTGCTCCAATGCTTCCCAAACTTGCTACACAGGAAAATCCCCAGGGGTGCTTGTTACAAATACACATTCCTTGGCTCCTTCCTATTCCAACTGAGTACTGGGGGGCCCACAAGTGTGACTTTTTTAAATTAAGTACTTGGGTCTTCTGATTTGCTGGGGAAGTTTGGCAAACATTGCCCGTGGCAACAAGGAACAGCTGGTGGAAGAGGCCGAAGCCTTCTGGAGGGGGGTGGTTGCCGACCTCCCAGCCCAGGTCCTTCCTTGGGCCCTGGGGCTAAGGCGTGGTTTCTTCCTGGGTCTGCAGCATCGGGCAGAGGCAGCTACTGTGCCTGGCCAGGGCTCTGCTGCGGAAATCCAAGATTCTGATCATGGATGAGGCCACGGCTGCGGTGGACCTGGAGACCGATCGCCTCATCCAGATAACCATCCAAAAGGAGTTCTCCCACTGCACGACCATCACCATCGCCCACAGGCTGCACACCATCATGGACAGCGACCAGTGAGTGGGCGGGGCGGGGCAGGGCCGGGTGGGGAGGCTTAACCCTGTGTCCACGGCAGCAGTGTCTGCGGTGAGGTAGGTCACTGGGGATGGGTTAACCGCCGTCATTTTACTAACGAAGAAACGGACAGTGAGCAATTTCAACTCATTTGCCCACAATGATATACATCAAGCTAACGAAAGGCAACAGGGTTAAGGAAACCACCTCGGGGCGGGCGGGGGGCGGGGATGGAAAACTGGGTGTCCCTGTAACCGTAACGGAGCCCGGGGAGGTGGAGGCTCGGGCCGTGAGTGGCAGATGCTGACTGCGGTCCTGCCACCCACGGTCTCAGCTGCTGCCCTGTAACCTGCTTTCTGTTCCTCGGACGGATCACACTGAACACGGGGGTAAGGTCAGCAACCCTACAAACAGGCTGCCCTAAACAACGTGTATCTTTAAAAAAAAAAAAAAAAGCTTACGTAAATGGACTCAGCTGGCAAATATTCTACCACCTGATTCTCTTGCTCAACATTTCATACGGTTTCATCGTGTCGATGCAAACAGCTGTGGTTTATTCACTGTGCTGCGTTGTAGCCTTGTGTGAATGCCTGCACCACGACATAGCACTGGCTGTTACAAATGCTGTGGTCCGAGGTGCTGCTTTCTAAGGCTGGCGTCTCCCTCTCCTGCGTTTCAGGGTGATGGTGCTAGACAACGGGAAGATTGTGGAGTATGGCAGCCCTGAAGAACTGCTGGAAAAATCTGGCCCCTTTTATTTTATGGCCAAAGAAGCTGGCATTGAACGTGGGAACAGCACAGCCTTGTGACAGCAGGCCCCGAGGCTCAGAAAGGTCTAGAAGGATCATTCCTTATTTTTTGAGAACTATATCATACATACAGAAATGTGTGTAAAATGTGAATTATAAAGAAGGATCAGCCTTGTCCCCACTGCCCAGGTGAAGGAAATGGAAGCAGCCGCTCCATCAGGATCCCCGGCCAGCCCACTCTGACCCTCCCTCCTTGCTCCCCCCGGAGACAGCCACTGTGCCGAAAGATAATTATCCCTTTGCTTTCCGTTTTAGTTTTACCACTTTGTATGTATCTTTAAATGATGTGTATCTTTTTTTAAAAAAAACTTATGCAAACAGCCTGGCTCATACTCATGCATTCTTCTACAACTTTCGACTCTGGCTCAATATTACCTTTGAGGTGTATCCGGTCCACGCCCATAGAGGGGTGAGTCCATGTTCACTGCTCTGCAGTACAGCAGCGGGGGAACGCACGCAGTGTGCCCGTTTTAATGTTGGTCAGCAGCAGGGTTATTTTTTTTCTATGATGAACTGTACTGCTATGAGCATTCTGATATGTAATTCCTGAGATGTATGTGCAAGACTTTCTTAGGGTGTAATGCGGGAGTAGGGGTGTGCACATGTTTCCATGAATATATTCGGTAATGCCAAAGCCAAACTGGCAATGCCGACATAAAGCACTTTGTCAGCCTGATGGGTATGAATTGGTACCTCAGTGAGGGTTTCATTTATATTTACCCGGTTCCTGTTGAGGTTTCACAGAGTAGAGTACAAACCACTACATGATCACGGCCTGAGGTTTCAATAGGAGGTTCCTGCTGGTTCTCACTCATGGTGCTTTATGTCCTTGTGTGCCTTGTGAATTCTTGCAAGAAGCTGTTCACTCTCCTTAGCACTCTCTCTGTGGACATTCTCGGAGGCCGAGTGAACCTGAGCTGTCCAAGAAGAATCCCTGCTTCCTGTATGGGTTTCCTCAGATCCCCCCACCTACGGCCACCAGGGATCGAATATGCAAAACTCTCCTCTTTTAAAAATAATTTTTATTGTTGTTCTATTACAGTTGTCTCAATTTTCCCCCTCTGCCCGCCTCCCCTCTCCCACAGTCAGTCCCCACCCTGTTGTCCATGTCCGTGGGTCATTCATACATGTTCTTTGTCTTCTGCTTCCACCCTTCATCCAACGGCCATCCAGAGGAAAGTTAAAACTCCTTAGTACGATATAATGAAGCTCCCAACATCTGATCCAATCTCGTTGCTCCTAACTCCCATAAGCTCCAGCGACAGTAAAGTGCTTTTAGGTTCACACTCACCTTTTGCTTCTAGCCTTTTGCTTCTCTATCCCTTCTGCTTGGAACACCCTGGCTACCTCTAACTCATTCTGACTCAACCAAGAGGTTCCCTTCTCAGACAAGCCTTCCCTGGTCCCCTCTCCTCTTACACCCCAAGCTAGTTTTCAGTGCCATCGTGGATTTCAGTCTTTTGCAGCATCTGAGCCACAGTTCTGTGTCTGGCGACTTCCCAAACTCAGGATTCTTGGTGGGAGGCGAGGGAGCAGCCATGTGACCAGGTCCCATTAATCAGCCGTGCCAGCACCAGACTTTAATTCAGATACCAGTGACACAGAGGGGCAGGGGAATCTGTCCTGGGAGAGGTGATGGCAGTTGTGACAGGCATGGCTCTTGTCCACGGGTAGCTGTGTGGTGGTTCCAGCTGCGAGGCCCAGCGATAGTGCAGTGACTTCATTGGATGTTTCTGTGTGGGTCTCCCTCAGTAAGCTGCAAACCTCTTGAAAATAGGAATAATTTCTTACTCATTTTTTTCTATCTTTCAGTGGCTAGAATATAGCAACTATACACATACTTTTCAAAAAAATCTTTAAAAAACTGAACAGGAAAAGTGAATGCCAAGAATGCAGCAATAGAGTTGAATAAAACAAAGTAACTCCACACTGACACACTGGCACAAACAGGAAAAATAAACGTACCAGTCGGACCTCAGTTTTTTGCAGGCCGGTTCTGTATGCGTGCCTTTCGCATACCCTCTGAGGAAATTCATTTCATTCAGGTAACAGGATGAGAATACATTGAGTCACAAGTGCTAACCGGTCATATCTTTATTTAAAATTAGCAAACAATATTGTGCGAAACATTTAAATCTCTAAACTTTTATAATTTAGATTGTTAGCAAAGACCACATTCAATTATAAGCATGAACTTAGTCTTCTACATAGATTAGACACTAAACAGTTTTTTTAAAGGTTTCACACTGTTTGAAGACACAAGCAAAAGATTATGAAATTGCATAAAAAATTAGAAGCACTCCATTTTCATAGTGTTCCTTTTTTGCTTTATATGCAAGTGATTGGTTATGCTGTAGAATTTGACTGTTTTAACTAGTGTAAAAAGCAATTAGGGGAAAAGTAGAAAAAAGAAAAAAGATCATATATAAGGCACTATTTTCTTTTAGGTAAAATAAGCATAAAAATAAGAATCACGGGAAGAAAAGAAAAACAACTTAAAACTAGTTTGGTCCTTACAGAATTTAAAAGTGGACTAACACACAGCTCCTCTTCAACTCGAACCACGAAGGCCTGGGTCGCCACATCCATACTCTCTCGGAGGGACGCCTTGGCACTTTCGCCACACGGCCCATCGGCTGTTCTGCTCCAGAGCGTCGTCCACTGGGAACCACAGGCTCTGCGGCGCAGCCCTCGGGACGCTCACCTGCCGCTATGCTCATACCTGCGTGTTCTCTCTCTCTGCGGACAGCCACTCCGCTGGTATCCATCCGCGGAGACTGTCCAGTGGTCCACCGGTTGTACCTCTGGACACACGTCTCTCCCCACAGGTGGGGCTAACACCCTTGCCTGCTGGCTTCTTCGTTAATTAGCACCCGTGCCCTGCTACGTCGTGGTCTGGTTTGTTAGTTGCACCATAAAGACAGAAACTAGTCCCATTAATATTTGCCTGATACATTTTCTAGCGAACCAATTACACAGTTTTATTTACAATTATCTGTAAACCAATTACACTTTGGCAAGCTCTTCATTTTCCTTCATCAAAAGGTTTAGTTTTCTGCATAATTGACGTCAGTGTTGATGGCTGACCAGGATACTTTTGTGTTAGCTGGACCTAGGGCAGCAGTAAGGCTCAAGGGCCAAACCTGTCCCACTATTTTTGTAAATAAAGGTTTTTTTGGAACACGGCCATGCTCACTTGTTTCTGCGTTATCTTTGCTGGCTTTTGTGCTACACAGTGGAGCTGCGGGGTGGTGGCGGACTGAGCGGCCCGCAGAGCCTGGACTGTGCACTGTCCAGCCTTGTACAGAGAAGGTTTGCCGACCCCTGCCCCAGCAACGCTGGTATGGCGTGGGTGCCTCGTTTCCACTCCCAGACAGACAGCTGGCCTGAGGAGTGTCGTGACCATCCCTGTGGCAGACAGATAAAATGGTTCCCGAAGATGTCCAGGCCCTAATCCCCAGAATCCACGAGGCTCACCTTCCATGGTGAAAGGGACTTGGGGGCGTGAGTAAGGATATTGTGGTGGGGAGACCATGCAGCCGGGCCCAGTGCAGTCACAAGGACCCTATGAGAGTCAGGAGGGTCAGAATCGGAATGAAGGCGGTGTGATGAGAAGCAGAGAGATTTGAAGATGCTGTTGCTGGCTTTGAAGGTGGAGGAAGAGGCCACGAACCAAGGGGTACAGGCAGCTTCTAGAAGCTGGAAAAGGAAGCGGTCTCACCTGGAGCCTCCAGAAGGAACCAGCCATACTGACGCCTTGACTTTTGCCCAGCGAAACAGATTTTGAACTTCTGACTTCCAGAACTGTGAGACTGTAAATTTGTGTTCTTGTAGGCCACACATTTGTGGTAATTTGTTACAGCAGCAAGAGGAAACACAATACCATAAGTCTGAATCGCTGATAAAATTGCTGATATTCTACTGGTCAGTATGACAATGACTGACCTTCACTAAATCCCCCTGCAGTTTGAATTTGTAGAGGCCCACACCGTCTTTTAAGCCCAGCTAAAAGTGGCTTTCAACTCTCCTGTCACTATTCTCTCAAGTTGCAAAGGCCTTAGTCAGCTTGGTCCTGTTTCAGTCTTTTTGGTGATCTCATCTGAGAGGCTGTAGGAAGGTCCCTGGTTCAAGTGCATCATGGTGACTCCTAGGACTGGAGGAGGCTGTGACAGACAGGGGTCTGTCACTGTTAGCTTCCCTGAGCCTGGACCTGAGGAGTGGCTGCCGGGAGAAAGGCTTGGAGCCAGACTCCCCTGGCGTCCCGGGCTGGCCGGGCGTGCTGGTGCACAGGCAGCTCCGCCACACGGTCCTGCAGAGTCAGCTGCTGGGCCCACACGTGCCTCTGCCCACAGCCAGTGACTTTTTCTCGCATGACTGTTACCGAACCCAACCAGCAGGTGGGGCCTACCGCTTGCCGCCTACCAGGCAAATCTCCAAAGATGGAGTTCGGTGGAAAAGAACCTTTTGTTTAATGGCAAGTTTCTGCCTAAAATATCTGGGTAACAAAAGTAAGGGGAAAGGAAAAGTCAGAGTATGACATCAAAACCAGCTGTTTAAATATGTCATCACAATTGCTACGTAGGTTCAGGAACTGGAAATAACACAAGAAAAACCTGTTCACAGTGCTGTTACCACCAAGGTCTTTGGAAATAACAGTTTTATTTTTTTGCCTCAAAGCCCGTTCCCTCTAAGACACACAAAGAAAAATCACACCGTCACCCTCTGCCAGCTCAGTTCAAGGTTGAGCCAGGAACCTCTTCTCCCACCCAAAGGCATCATAGACGTCGGTGGCTCAGCTGGTCTCCAGTCGCTGTCCAGCGTCAGACATCATTCGGAGCCTGTGCCCCCAGGCTTCTGCTCCCAGGCCCACACTGGCCACCGCTGGCAGGCTTGCTGGGGACCATTGATATGCCCTCCACTAGGGGAGGGGAAAGAACCAACAGACGTTTTGCTTTCTGGGGTGCTCCATTTCAAAGTCCTTTCCCAGAATCCCGTGTGTGCCGAAAGTCAGTGGGAGCACCCAGCCTTCCAACCAGTCAAGGCGTGTCGGCCACGTTCATCTTTGCCCTTCTTCTGGCCACCGTGTTGAGCAAGGGGCGGTCTCCAGCCACACCTGCACAGCCCAACCCCCTCCCCCACTTCCTGGGGGGTGCCCCCCCATTCCACAAACACACCGCTGCTGCCCTTCGGCATCCTCGCTCCCTCCCACCACCTCCCCACCACAGCCCTTCATGCCTCTGGGGAAGCACGAAGTCCTCTCCTTCCTCCCAGAGGGTCACCTCCAAGTAGTGGTAAGAAATGGAGAGCCCTCAGTAGCTTG